AACATCGAATATCGGTTGACTTCGACGCTAGGCGCACAGCCACTTGCGGCTTGTACGAGTGAGTGTTCGAAACTCGTACTCGAGGGACTCTAGGCCGCTACAAATATAACGGATGATACTTACGACCAGTTTAATAAAAAGTTCAATGAAATTAACCACTACGTTAAATATCGTATACGTGTGTGATGTACGTGCAAAAAGGAGAGAAGAGAGAGAGAGAGAGAGACGCATGAAACGCGTCCTGCTTTACGCGATGCTGCCTTCCCGAGCGAACGAGACGAGAAAGGCCGAGCGAACGTGTTTGGTTACGCGTTGGTGGTAGTACCGAGAAAAGTCCTCGAGCATGTTGGTCGATTTTTTTCGCCGCTGGTATCGGGGAGGTACCGTGAACGGACACACGCAGCAGCATCCGCAGCTCGCTTCGATCGCGACGGAAAAAAAAAAAACTAGAAAATCCGCCGAGCTAGGAAGAAGCTGCTCGCGGCTCGTCGAATACTAGTCGCTAAACTAGTTTGTCCGGAAGCGAAAAACGGCCCGTGCTCACATCCTCTCGTTCTCGGAACGTGGAAACGATCGCGATCGCGATCACGGCGGCGACACACGCGCGGCGAGCAAGAAGCGGAAGAGCAACGTCGATGGAATTCGTCGAAACGAAGAGAGAACCTCGAAGAGAGGCTGCTGAGTGGCACTGCTTGCGATCTTCGTTCCCACCTTTGTCATATTTTCCTTTGCTGCGTCCTTTTCTCTTTCTCCTTTTTATTAATTGCGGGATTGTTGGCGAGAAAGTGCGTAAAGTGCTGTACTTTGTATCAGGGGAGAGTCTTTGCACTAGTAACAGTCGAAGGTTTTTGTTATTGTCTTGAAGATTTCAAGAAACGAGTTGGTTGCTGAAACAAAACTTAAATGGAGGGGGATGATTTTTGTGAAATTTAATTGACAATTCGCGAAAATAACGTGACCATGATTTTGAAATCTGAAATTTGCAATTGGAGCACAGAAATTCGTCACCGATCGACCGCGATTGTTAAATCAGTAGATTTTTAAATCTGAATGAAATCTGGCAGGGAAAGGGTCGAAACTAATTTTGACCTTTGTCTCCTCTCTGTACAATTTTCTTAGATATTTACTTTCTGTAGTAAAGGACTTCAAGAAAATTTCAAAAAACGAGTTGGTTGCTGAAACAAAACTTAAATGGAGAGGGATGATTTTTGTGAAATTTAATTGACGAGAATTGGCAATTCGCGGAAATAACGTGATTATGATTTTTAATCTGAAATTTGCAATTGGAGCACAGAAATTCGTCACCGATCGACCGATTGTTAAATCAGCAGATTTTTAAATCTGAATGAAATCTGGCAGGAAAAGGGTCGAAACTAATTTTGACCTTTGTCTCCTCTCTATTTTCTTAGATATTTACTTTCTGTAATAAAGGATTTCAAGTTTAAAAATAATCTTCGAACGCAGAGAACAAGAAGATTGCAGTTACAGCGATTGAATTATTGTTTCAGACCTGGCGGATGCTAACCTGTTCCAACAAGATGGAGTCACCACGTACTCGCAACTGCTGTTCGATGTTGCTAGACAACAGGTTGTCGTTGGCGCTAGGTACGTGTATCGGCTAGAGTTGAGACACATCGCTTTCGAATACCAAAAAATTACTCAAATTCATCTCAAACTTGCCTTTACTCCAATCCTGCTGTTCTTTAATACTAGAACCATCGGCACATAAAGATTGAAGCATACAATTTCCACCAGAGACATCGAAGTCCAAGAAATAGGGAAACTTTATAACATAGTGGAAAGCGTACAAACTTTTATTTATATATCTTACGAAAAATCATTTCAATCGATTACACATCTGTGAAATGTCCAACAGAAATTATAAATTTGTCATTTTGACCGTTTTGGTAGTTCCAACTAGTGTTAACTAGTGTCAAGAGATTTTATTTATGTATCTTACGAGAAATCATTTAAATCGATTACACATCTGTGTAAAATGTCCAACAGAAATTATAAATTTGTCATTTTGACCATTTTGATAGTTCCAACTAGTGTTAACTAGTGTCAAGAGATTTTATTTATGTATCTTACGAGAAATCATTTAAATCGATTACACATCTGTGTAAAATGTCTAACAGAATTATAAATTTGTCCATTTTGACCATTTTGGTAGTTCCAACTAGTGTTAACTAGTATCAAGAAATTTTATTTATGTATCTTACGAGAAATCATTTAAATCGATTACACGTCTGTGTAAAATGTCTAACAGAATTATAAATTTGTCCATTTTGACCATTTTGGTAGTTCCAACTAGTGTTAACTAGTATCAAGAAATTTTATTTATGTATCTTACGAAAAATCATTTAAATCGTTTACACATCTGTGAAATGTCTATTGAAAATTATAAATTTGCCATTTTGACCACTCTGATGGTTCTAGTGTTAACCACTTGCGTTGGCAGCTGACTGCGGACCGTAACGAGTGACCAAACCGTGTAGAATAAATCGTTTTCTCTTTGAATTCATCGGTATAGAAATCACTGGATAGAAATTACTGTTTCGCCTACTTAATTATACTTAAGTATACTTAAAACTATTACAAGAAAATATTACAATTTTGGGACGAAACAATTCTCGACGCGCGTGGCACGTCGTTCCAGCGCAAGTGGTTAACCAGTATCAATATCGAGCGATTCTACGACCTCGCTGCATGTCGTTTCCAATTCCTATTAGGTTTTCGTCTATTTCTAAGTCCTAAGAGTTCCGAGAAGAAGACGAACGCGGAAGCGCGATCGAGAAACAACGCGCGTCGAATGCGAAGAATCGAGACCGATCGCGAGATCGAGAGACGACGGCGGTTTGGCGATTCGCCGAGTCGTCGACCGGTTATTTCTTTTCGACGAAAGAGAAACGTCGACGGGAGCCCGCGCGTCTTTGGCTGCTCGCCAAATTGCTGGTCTTTTACGTAAACCCACTCGAAAATATGTTTCTCCCATCCCAGTTTCCCATCGATCCTCGAGAGACCTTCTACTGTTGTTACTAGACTGCGGATTTTTCTGCATTTACGGCGAACAGCGACGAAAAATCGTCGACAATTTATAAACTTGGCAAGAAAAGATCATACAACGATCCACTTTGGTCTCATTTTAAAGCGCGAAGCTCCTCCATTTTTGATAGTCGCGAGTTCGTTTTGCTCTCGAAGATGATTTTACATCGGAAAGCGAGGGCGCTTTTCTTTCTTCTCTTCTAAAATTGTAAAAATTCAAAATTCGTGCATAAGAATGTTGAAAGAGAAATTTCTCAGTGAGCAGAGATTCATCAACGTTTTGGAAATTGAAGTTTTTCTTCTTTATGATCAGAGAGTATCAGAGTTAAACGATAATAATTCAACAAATCTTGATATTTGCGTACAATGTTTAAAATTGTATAATGTCGTTTAAAATTATAAAATAAAAATAATGTTTAAAAGAATTATATAAAATATAGTAAATTACACGTCATTACAAATTTTTCTTTGGAATTATCTTCATGAAAAATATGAATCTCTGCGTAAATATTGGCAATTTAATTATTAGCGATGGAAAATATAAAACTGAGATTGAATAAAAGACGAGCGAGTGTTCAGTTAAACTTGTAATTTATTAATAATACGGGAACTGTGTTCAACAGTTTAGGCCATCTGCGATAGTGATATCGTAATGGCAATTAATCACATATTTCTAGGAAATATTTCTACGTGCTATTGTATGTACAAAATGAATCTTTGGATGTTTGTGCTGTACTTGTTTCTGGGTTTTCCTAGAAATATTTCGATAAATAGAACGCGTGCACAACGATTTCAAAGAAGCCTCGAGGAAAATGGAAAAGTTCTCAGTATGAAGTGGATTCACTGAATGATTCTTTGACGAGATTCTCGAAACAGATTTTACTGCCGAGAATAGGAAAAGATTGTTCGAAAGCAATATATTTCCTCAGCTAATTGTCGATTGGTTAATTCTTGAATTGAATACCCTTCGAAGAAGTAACGACGTATTTAAAATAAGATGTTTGCATCGATAATGGATTGTATCGTGTCCAGCCTTAAAAACGAGGCTTTAGATCAGTTTTTCGGCCTGATGCCCCACCCCTGTGACGCATAATCTTATCTTAACAAGCCTCCAAAAGAAAGAACATGACGCCCATGAAAGAAAGAAATTAGAAAGTTAAATTTTTATTTAAAGAAATGTCAGAAATGGGTCCTACGTAGATAGAAAAATTTCATTCTACATTCATCTTTACGCGTGAAGCAACTCCTTGTCGATTATCTGCCCCTGCTCGATCCAAAGCCAGCCAAGTTGAAGTACATGTTTGTCCAAATTTTCCAAAGCGAAAAGCCTCGGATGAGAGAGGAAAAAAAAAAGAAAAAATTTCGTACCGAATTTTCCACTTTCACTGTCCTCTCACGTACATTCGATCACCTTCGTTTCGATTCTATCGCTATTTCCTATTGTCCAGGTGTCCAGCGACGAAGCTAGTTTCTCTTTAGCGGTGTGTATCGTTCCCCGATTCAATAATGCAGCGGCGACATGCGCGAAAAAAGAATCGCCTCGTCTGCACCTGAGGGCCTCGCCGCGACAAGACAGACAAGCAGCCGCATTCCATCCACTCGATCGCCCCTCTCGAAATCGTCGAGGAACGCGCGAACACGTTGGTGATCGATTTTCGCGATCGGGGCACCGATCGAATCGAGCGTGGAAAGGAGCGTACGCCCTCGTCTTACCTTCTATTAATAGAATAGCTAGTTATTAACCGCAACCCACGTACACGCGGCCAACTGGTCGACGAAATGGGCGCGCGTATGCCTGTCTCGTTCCCGAGAGGGGAGAAAAGTCGCAGGAAATGTGAGGTCGTTCCCTCGGCGTGTTCGAAACGAAATCTTGGATCTTGAATTAGCTTTTGGCAATTTGAACGCAATTATTTCATAGACACGAAAGCGTGAAGCGAACCGAAGAGAACACCGGTGCCACGCGCGTCGAGAATTTTTCTGTCCCAAAATTGTAATGCCTTCTCAGTCTTAAGTATAGTTAAGTAAAACAAACTATAAATAGGCAAAACAAATTTATTACTTCTCTAATAATTTCGATCCAGTGATATATCATACCGACGAAGTTCGAAAAGAAAGCGACGGATCAATTGTATGTGATTCGGTCGCTCGTTATGGTCCGCAATCAGTTGTCGGCGCAAGTGGTGCCTTCTTGCGCTGGAATGACGTGCCGCGCACGTCGAGAATCTTTTGTAACAATTTTTCTCAGTTTTAAGTATACTTAAATGTAACACAGGTAAAACAAATGATGAAGTTTATTATTTCTCAATCATTTTTATCGAGTGATGTCGTACCGACGAGTAGAAAAGGGAAAAGAGAGCAACGATTTATTGTATACGGTTCGGTCGCTCGTTATGATCCGCGAACTAGTTGCCAGCGCAAGTGGTTAAGTACCAAATAATGTTTATTTAAACATTGAGTAATTTTTATTAATTTAAACATTATTTTTATTTATTACTGTTATTTATTTATTTTTTCAAGATTAAGTTTTGTTATTAGCATTTCTTTTTTACCTTAGCGAATTGGCGATGGAGACTCGCTACGTCGACTCGTTCATTTTCAATTCGAAAATTAATTTATTTAACAGCATGTCGCTACGTCGTACAGAAAATTGCATTAACTCTTCGTTCCTTGTATTGCGTATGACTTTCACCGTTGTGTCAAGGGACGGATACAGTTCGTTTTTTTTTTATCATATTTATCATAAGATTGTTCGTTACCATTGGATTAAATTATTTCAGATTTATCGTTAGATCGAATTTCTCACTTGTCGTGGGATAAATTGAACAAACAAACATTCGCAGCTACGTCGATTCAAAGTACGTGAAATCAGGTGTTGCAATCGGCACTCGGTGAAATCGTCCTGGTGGACGTCTTTCCCAAAACGGATCGCGCGATCGAGAGTCGATTGAAAGAAAAACGCGAGTGAAAACGCCCGACTCGTAGAAACGGCACGAGGAGGGAAAAGGTGTACACGCGACACGGCGCCACGATTTGCATTCTTCTAGTCCGATTCCCGTGCTCGGCAACCGTGGCGTCATTGAATGGTATATTATTGAGTGCATATCGCGACAGGATCGCGTTGCTGAAAACTGGCGGTTCCTTCTTGAGATTGATGAGGAACTAATTTTTTGTTTCTCTTTTTTTTTTTATATACTTTACTTTACTCCTGTTACTTTAAATATTTGTTACGAATTCAACAAGATACAAGATACGTAGATAAAAGAATGTACAAAGAAATACAATGTTACAGTGTTGAAGAACATTGAGAAGATACATTTTAGATGCAGATGTCTATAGTTTGTCCTAGAGAAAAAGTCGATATTGTTTGGTATATTACATACATAAGATTAATGGCAGAAATATTACTCTTTTCTTTACACAGCAAATAATGGTACAACCGAGTCGATTTTTTCAATTTTACCTCGAACTTCTCGCTCAGTTTTAGTTGAGAAAACTAAATTCTTCTAATATTTTAAAAGATCATTATTAACGATATACTGTCTAAAATTAAATTACGTTTGAACTTGCAATTGATTTTGTTTTGCCAACTATTATCATTAAATTAAAATTATATTAAATTATATTAATAATAATATTATTAATATTAATATAAATAATATTATTAATATTAAAGTTATATTGAAATATATTAAAATTATAAAATAAGTCTAAAGTTAAATTTTATTTGAATATACTTGCAAGTGATTTTGTTTTGTCAACTATTATTATTAAATTATAATTATATGAAATATAATAATAAAAATAATATTATTATTAATATAAATAATAATATTATTAATATTAAAATTATAAGTCTAAAATTAAATTATATTTGAACTTGCGATTGATTTTGTTTTGTCAACTATTATTATTAAATTAAAATTATATGAAACTATATTAACAATATTATTATTATTAATATAAATAATAATATTATTAATATTAAAATTGTAAAATAAGTCTAAAATTAAATTATATTTGAATATACGTGCAATTGATTTTGTTTTGTCAACTATTATTATTAAATTATAATTATATGAAATTATATTTTATTTATATTAATATAAATAACAATATTATTAATATTAAAATTATAAGTCTAAAACTAAATTATATTTGGATATACGTGCAATTGATTTTGTTTCGTCAACTATTATTATTAAATTAAAATTACATGAAATTATATTAATAATAATATTATTATTAATATAAATGACAACATTATTAATATTAAAATTGTAAAATAAGTCTAAATCATTAAATCATCATTTGAACTTTGTAATATGATTTTGTTTCGTCAATTACTTATTATTACAGATTTTTATTATTATTGTAGAACTTTCTCGTTGAAAGACTTCGTCATCAATCGCACAATTGACACTTACTCGGTGCTCGTCTCTGGTACGGCCATCGAACTCCTCCACTAGACGCGTAACAAACGCGAGTCGTTGGACACAGTTTCGTTCGACGAGAACGAGGTCGCCGAACGATCCATCCTATTCGTTTAACGAACAGGAAGCAATCTGTCTCAATAGGATTGCCCGTACGTCGTCGTACTCTTGCGTACCTACTCGTGCCTACTCGACCCTCGAGTCGACCGTTCGCGTACTTTCTCGAATTCGCGCGCGGCTCATCCGCGACGTCAATCGCCGCTGGTTAAACCCTCGTTCAGTTGATGCCAGGATTAAACTGTGATTACAGTGGATGCATGTTCCGACGAACGGACCCGTGCGTTTGAAACGTACGTAAGCCTCGTTTATCCGGAACGTGTCGAGGGACAAGGTCGTCCTCTCGATTCACCGAGATAGTGATTTTCTGTTGTTCCGTATAATAAAAGATAGTAGAATAAGACTAACAAAAGTTTTATTATACGCACGTAGTATTTTTGTGCGGATCCATATTTTTTGTTTCGGGATTATGACTGAAAGAATAGAGCCTTCTTGGAAATAATTGAGAGAGTAATTCATTCAGAGAAAAATTAATTGTTATAGAAAGTAGTACCATATTCTGGATCTTTTAAATGTTATATTCATAAATTACACTTGTTTTGCATTGTAAAAAAATTTACTTTACGAACATTCTCGGTTTGTGAGAAATTCGTTGGATAATTTATCGTAATATGCTCCCGCTGTAATCATATGCTTCGGAGGATTTTGAGAATAGAGGTTTCAAGTTCAAGTTTTATTCAGAAAACACTTCATTATAAATTTTCGTGACGAAAGCAATATAGAAAATATCTGAAACATATTCGAGAAACGTCGAAATCCTTGAGATACAAGATATCGTTATATTTTATACAAGATTATTTTACTTTCTTTTTATTTTATTCTACAGTTTCATCTTCTTATACACACACGTACGTAAGAAAATAAAATTAGCAATTTCGACTCGGGCAGGGAAAAATTTCACTTGGTCCTTTGACCACCATCTTCATTGCGCTCTGCTCGAAGAACACCTCTTTTGCCGATGCTCTTCATTTTTTGTGTTTCGACGTGATGATATTTAAGCACGCGAAACGCGTAACATTCCTGTAAAAGTAAAAGGAGGGAAACGAAACGCAATGTTCTCGAGTTGATCGGCGTGGCGGATCCGATCTCCGCGGAGCCGCTTCGCTCGACTAACGATCGCTTTTGGCGCGACTGTCGCGGCGCGTAGTCGCGCATAGTCGCGGCGCGCGCCCACGTAGGCGCCGTTTATGCTTCGCTGCGAGTTTCCTGCGGCGTGATTGCGCGAACCATTCGGTCGTTCTCTCTCTCTCTCTCTTTTTCTCTGTCGTCGCGCCGGCAGCCGTGTGGCTTTTTACACGCCGTCCCACGCCGTCCCACAAAGCCAACCGGCCGGGCCTCGATTTCGTTCGTAGCCAAATGAAAACCAAATGAAATCGTTGCGATTCCAGAGATAATCTGTACCGGTTGACGCTAACCTCGCTGACGCCGCTCGAGCACGCCACTTGGCCAGCCCCGGACGATAAGAGCAACACCTGTCAGAACAAGGGCCAAAGCGTGGATGACTGTCGCAACTACGTGAAGGTTCTGCTCACCAATGGAAAGAGCCTGTTCACTTGCGGCACGTACGCGTTCAGCCCTTGGTGCACGTGGAGAGAGGTAAGCAGGGAGGATCAGAGACGAAGGATATTCTACGAATGAAAATGAACACTATCTAATTAACACTGAAAACTATCGGCGTGAAAAGCATAAAATTTCCATCAGAGAACGTTGGAGCAAGAGGATGAAAAAGCATTGTGACACGATAAATTGCACGTGATTTTATATGCACGTGTTACGAAGAATTTTGTATCTTTAAAAAGTATGGTTTTGTATTTAGGGAAATTAAATTTCAATCTGAATTCTTTATCACACGAAAATTGTTAGGAAAGCGGGGAATTGGTGAAATGTATATGTTGTCCCGCAACAGAGTTTATTTAAGTGGAACTTTATTGCAATTGTTGCGCCGATACTTCTCTGATATATATTTTTATATATTTTATATATTTTTATCAGTATATATAAAAGAATTCGAACGAATTCACTTGGCAAAAATTTAAACGAACGTGCCTCCATTTTCTGTATATTTGCGTGTGTTTCATATGTTTTTGCTTTTGAACTTTAAATTGTTACAAGTGCACGAAACTCTCGAAGTCTAGTAATTGTTTCAAGTTAGAAATGTCAGAATCTATGCGCGAAACACGTTAATAATAAAATCTGGCGACAACTGTCTGCGTAGATTCTACTTTTTCTTTTTTTTCTTTTTGCATTCGTAAAACGTCAATTTGCATAAACGTCCGTAGTCTCGATATATGGTAGTCATAAATTAAAGCTTCAAGAATGATATGGCTGCACCTGAGATTATAGAGGAAATTTAAATCTTACGATCTTTTATTAAAACCACCTTTCACTTCTTATTCAATAACAATTGCCAGTCGATATTCTCGAAAGCCTCGAGCAAAAAGAATTTTACGCAGATTTTCATGCAAATTTGTGTCTTTGAGAATGTAATTAAAAAAGGAATATCTTGGGAGATAGAAGATGTGTTTTACCACACTATATTCTTTTTTTACATCGTATGTATTTTATGCAAATTTGAACTTTATCACGGGGAATTTTATAATTGCATAAAATGCATAAAACTGCATAAAAATATGTGATTTAAACGCAACTCTGTGCACTCTGTGTCGAAAACAGATTAGTATTTTTTGTTAGCTTATCAACTTCTTTCGACAGTTAATTGAAGCTTAGCTTGCAATTAATACGATTTAAATAAGCTGTCTAACTCTTTAACTTTAATTAAAGGCAAGCATTTCAATTTTTATTTCACGCGAAATTATATTTTTTAATATTAGAAGTCTGAAAGGAAAGTTCGTTTGATAATTAATAATAATGAAAGAAAATTCATTTGATAATTTTTTTATCGTTGCATCTTCCACCTAGACTCTACGATTTTGTGAAATTTCAAGAAATTGAAATATCTATGATAAAATAAAATATCTATTTATTAATTATTCTCTGACTTTCAATGGGTTTGGAATTAGAAAATTATAAAAAGAATATTATACAATTGCCAACGATAGAAGAGAATGTTTCCAATCCGGTAGTATAACTGAAAAAGTAGTGATTCTACGTACTTATAAAATTTATAAAAATCATTTCTTAAATTCGATCATTCTTCTTGAAAACGAAGCATCGTACATTTTTGACTTGTCTTTCCACACTTTCAAATTTTCAAACTCAAAAAAAAAAAAAAAAAAAAAAAATTGTATCCCTGTGTATCTATTCCCACTTGCACGTAACACGTTAAAAATCGATTCGATTTCTCGCAGATCGAGAACATCAGCAGCGTGACAAGCGAGATGTCGGGTGTAGCGATGTGTCCTTACTCGCCGCACGCGAACGTAACCGCGTTATTAGCCAGGGGGCCAACAGGCGGCCTGTTCACCGGGGCGCCGACCGATTTTTCCGGCGCGGATCCAGCCATATGCAGAACGCTCGCCTCGCCGAATCTTCGCACTCACCAATACGACTCCAGGTGAGTCGAGCTTCGACAAAGTCAAAAATCTCCGTCAGCTTACACTTGTACAACGAACAATACCGCTTTCAGATGGCTGAACGATCCGCAGTTCGTCGGCAGCTTCGAGACGGAGGACCACGTGTACTTTTTATTTCGCGAATCGGCCGTCGAGTACATCAACTGCGGCAAGGTAACGCGTTCTTGACGAACGATCTGTTGACAGTGATCTAGCTGCCAACGTTCGAACAGAGATTTTTATCCATGAACCTTCGCGATAAGCAGGTTCAAAGTTCCGAGAGTACACGAGTACTTCTTTTCTCAAGTTTTGTCACCAGAAAGGAGAAAATTAAATGAAGTTCTTAATGTCTTAAGTGGGAGATATAGTTCGAAATTAAAGGTAGAATTTTCGCTTACCTGAATCTATCGACGGGTAAATAATTTATGCAATCGGGAGTTCGCGTAATGAGAATCCACTGAATCCTCTTTATTCACGTAGGAGTTCAGGTTCAGATAAATGGATTCAAGAAGCAAATATTCGTTTAATTTTGGTAAAAATAATTGACTAAAATTTGGTTCAAATAAATGCAGTTCTACTGCGAATGATTTCAAACTTACGAACAATGCAAAGTTGATAGCGACTTATGTTTCGAGTCGATAAATAATTAAAAGTGACATCGATATCTTACCAATCTTTCCAATTAATTATAAGACGAAAGGAAAAAAGGATGTCCTTTCTGCAAGTCGAGCGAATAATTAATTAAAAGACTAAACAGAGAATACTCCATATACAAATCCTGGAGTATTTCGTTTCTAGAAAAACACGACAAGAAACATTTTCTTACTCTTCGTATTCTTTTTTTTTTTTTTTTTGATAACGTAACGATTCACGAACAGTCTGATGATACTCTAGAAACCAGTGGATTTTTGTTTTTTTTTTATTAATTAACTCTAACCACGAAGTACCGCTTGCCAAGCCACAGTGCAATGTCTTTGGCCGATCTTTGTGTCTCACCGTGCACCATCATCCAAACCATCAACCTTTCCTCCCGCTTTGCTTTCAGAAAATCTACTCGAGAATAGCGAGGGTGTGTAAGAATGACCGCGGTGGTCAAATTATGATGAAAGAGGTCTGGACGACGTTTAGCAAGGCGCGATTAAATTGTTCTCTACCTGGCGAGTTTCCTTTCTACTACGACGAGATTCAGGGCGCGGTCTATCATCCGGAAGAGGGCATCGTTTACGCGACGTTCACCACGCCCATGTAAGTACAAGCCTGTCTCTCCCCATGTGCGTTACTTTGTACAGCATCGCGCGTATCGTCTCACATTCGTTTAATCATTTCTCCTTCATGTCTGCGCCGCTACACATTCGCTCGCGAAGGAACACGTGAGAAAATGGTACGTACAATTTCCCCGAGATTTTTGTTCGAACGAAGAAGGGCCCGCTGCGCTGAACAGGAAGGTCTATTCCTTTTTTTTTTTTTTTTTTTTAAGTAGTTTCCAGCGAACCGATAAAGTTCAATCGAATTATTTCTTCGAACGTAGCTATGAATTCGTGGTTGGTTGGTACATTTGCACACTTTGAGCATTATGAGAAAATTATGTGTATTTATTTTGGATGAGTTGTCGACGATTTAACCCATTGCGCTGGCAACCGACTGCGGACCATAACGAGCGACCGAGGCCGTATACAATTAATTCGTCGATTTCTATTTCAACTCGTCGGTGTTATACATCACTATAGATAAAAATTATTGAGAAGTAATAGATTTATTTACTTTATCCTGCGTATTCCGTATTCAAATATACTTAAAACTGAGAAAGTATTATAGTAATTTTGGGGCAAAAAATTCCAGCGCAAGTGGTTCAAATCGAATCACTTTTCCGAATGAATCGCGATCGACTAATATCCGCAAGGCAGCAAACTTTCGCACCTTTGAATGTGAATCGTACTTCTCTTTCCAAGTATTGTCAATTACGATCTTGCGATACAATATTCGTAGTGCCAAATAATTGTATCAATATCATTCCGTAAGAATGACAAAACTTCGTGAACAATTTTATTGAGAGGATCATTTAAATACCGATTGCAACGAGGATCGTGTCGAACACATGTTGCACACATAGATAGGAAATAGCTTTACGCCTTCAAAAAACCAAAAAATTTCTTCGGTGTGATTTTACAGTGACGAGACGCACCGTATCTTTAGTTCCCTTGCCATCCTCTGTTTTCGTTTCTTTTTTTCACTTCACTGTTTCTTTCGCCTCTTTCGGAGCAACGAAGAAGGGGAGAAAGGGCGCGAGTAGCCTAAAGTCAAGACGCGTGTGTATTTTTAGCAATGGAATTGCCGGCTCGGCGATATGCGCGTTCAACATGTCGGCGATCACCGCGAGCTTCAACGGGCCTTTCAAGCACCAGGAGAATTCGGGCGCCGCCTGGGAGAGGAGGCCGGTTTCTCATCAGAATCGTCAACGATGCGGCAACACGGCGAACGTCGCTCCACATCAGATCATAGACAATCAGAGGTACCAGCTGATGGACGACGCGGTTCAGAGCACCACTCTGGGACCGCTGCATACAGCTCTACTCGAGAGATTCACGTTGATCGCACTCGACGTCACGCCGACTAAACTGCACCGCGGCGTCACTGTCCTGTACGTGGCTACCGACGTTGGCCTGATCAAGAAGATCTCGGTTTTACCGCGTACGCAGGAGACCTGTGTCGTTGAAGTCTGGGGTCCCTTGCCCTCGACACCGATGACCATGCAGTTCTTGAAAGACACGCAGAGTCTGTACGTCGGCACCGAGCTCGGCCTCTCGAGGTAAATGTGACATTCCAGCGAATGAACCGAGTCGGATTATTATATTTATTGGTACTGCTATCTAGGCTATGTGATAAAATCTCTATCAGTTTCCATAATTCTAATTGCGACTGATCGTGATATTTTAAACAGATATTTGATTGATATTTTAAACAGATTTCTGATTGCGTATATTAATATTCTGACCAAGTATAATAACTAATTTCTGATTAAATATATTGTACTAATATAAATGTAGGACTCGTGTAGCTGTACGGCACATCATTCCAGATATAATTATCACTTTCCATGATTCTGATTATTTGATTGTGATGTTGATATTTTAATCGTAACAGGTTTCTGATTACATATAGTAATATTCCAAGTATAATTGTTAATTTCTGTTTAAATATATAAAGTATATAAAGTGCGATTAAATGTATCATAAGGACAAACTGTACTAGCACTTTCATATTTGCTTTGATTACTTATTACTCGTTCATGCATACAATATTTTTCGAACAGTGTGAACCCAGTATAACTGAAAACTGATTATTTAACTCTTTTGCAGGATACCAGCTGCACAATGCCACAGACATCGAAGTCGCCAGGCCTGTCTGAACGCTCAGGAACCGTATTGCGGTTGGAACGAGCATCTGATGAAATGCGCTCCAGCTCCGAAGCAAAACCATCTAGCTAATCACTGGCATCAAGAAGTCACCAAGTGTCCTGTTCTCACGGATCCTGTGGATGGTGGTTGGAGTGCCTGGAGTTCTTGGTCCTCGTGTCAACATGGCAATACGGATCACGCACACTCTCATTCACACGTCCATTTGCACCCTCACACCGAGACGGTAAGTCCATAGCACGCGTTACGTACATATTACACAGATATCAGATGATTCTGATCAAATCTTCTAATACTCTAATTACGATAAGCAATATACTATTCCTCTTTCTCTCATTCTAAACATTTCTTACAAGGTAGAGAAAATACGTGTTAAATGAATCTTTATTTCAGCCTTTTGGCCTAGAAATAGACCTCACTTACTTACATTATTCTTTACACTTTGTCTTCCCTTTTAATTCCCTTAGTTGTCAAGTGTTATTTCTTTTCCCTTATATACTAGCATTGCGTGCCAGACTTTAACCTAATCTTATACTATAAATAGAAATAGAAAATGATATATGCACAATGCCTTAACACTTAATATATTTCTCTATATTTTCTTTACTCTAGTTGTGTCTCTATATTTGGTTTTCTGTTTCTTCTTCTTTCTTTTTCTTTTTCTATTTTTCTGAGCCAGACCACCGCTTCCGCATCACCCTCTTCCGCTAGGATCCTTTCCATGTTGAGACCAGTGCTAAAACGTTCCTTCCTCCTCTTCACATAGCAGACATTCTCTCTCTGCTCCCTTTGCCCAAAACTTGTTGGCATTTTCGGTAGAACCGCATCTCGCTCTAGCCAATATTCTTTGCTCTCCGTTCCTTCTCCTTTCTCTTAAATATTTTGGCAAAGTACTTATATCTTCTATTGTATCTGGTTTCCTTGATTCGGGTCCAGTTTGTTTCTCCACCTCTATTTTAGAGAAAATACATTAAAAGAACACATATTTTAGAATGTGATTCTGAGATATACATACACATAATTCTAATTATCAAATTTTAACATATCTATTTTTTTGAAGTAATTCAGAAAAACCAAGATTAGATTCCATTTTGATCCTATGCCTGAGTATTTTCAGCTGTGACATATCTTTCTGATAATCTGTCATTCCACTATATCAGTCCACTATTCTTGTCTTCTTTCGTTCCGCATAATCGTGAGTGCAAACCGAAAGCGAATCCTTTCTTTCCTTTCTTTAGGTGTTGGACACTTGTCAGTGTCAAACGCGAGACTGCAACAACCCGCCTCCGCAGCATGGCGGAGCAACTTGTTCAGGAGCTAGGGTCAGGGTGACGAACTGCACGGTTCACGGTGGCTGGACAGCCTGGTCAGCCTGGTCAGCGTGTTCGCAAACGTGTGGCTTCGCGATGAAAACACGTCGGCGCACGTGTACGAATCCAGCACCGGCTTTCGGTGGAAGAGTCTGCGTTGGTCACGATCACGACGACATCGTCTGCATAGATCTTCCACCGTGCCCTACGCCTGCCAAGGTCGCACCACCGCCGCAACAAACCATCGGTCAGTGGTCATCTTGGGGCACTTGGAACGCTTGCTCCCGACCTTGCAACGGTGGTAAGCTTCAACTATCTTTTTTTCTAAAATATTGTCCTATCGTTTATGATCTTTATGATAATTTTATAACTTCACGTTTGATGAAAAACATCAGTTTAATAATTTGATAAATGAACGATATATTTCTTATCTACTAGTGGTGACAAATAAACGAAACAAAGAAAATAAGATAAAATAAACAAATAAAATAGATAAATATAAAAATATAATAAATATAAAAAATAAGATAAATAAATAAATGAAAAAATTAACATAAAACTCGAGTCTCTTCCTTTACAAACCTGTACAAACTCTTTTTGAGCACTTTCTCCCACGCCTCTATATTTTACAAAACCAATTCACACCATCGATAATTCAGAGTCCCAATTCCACCAACATTTCTTCCATTTCTATGTATTTTTATGCTCTCTCGTTTTATAATCACTTCTTCTAAGATATCGTTTATAACACCCGTCTGTTTGATCTGCAGGAATACGAATACGAAGAAGAACGTGCGAGAATCCTTCGCCACGAAAGTCTCCCACCGTCGAGTGCAATGGATGCGACTTCCAGGTAAGCACGATTGATATTTATACGAATAAAATACTGAAATGATGTTTAGACATCCAAATGAACGTGAGTTCGGCGAGATTAGTTGTTTTCGATGGATCGAAAATACAATACGCAAGACTGACAATTCTTCCAAACAACGTAACATCAAAATCGCGCGCTCACCTCTCGTTTCCTTTCTCGTCTATTCCACTTTTTTGTTCGACAGATCGAAGAATGCAACTCGCACCAATGCATCGAGACGAAAAGATACTCCGGATGGACACCGTGGCTAGCGGTGAACGGCAGCCTTCAGAGCGCAAGCATCGGCTACGTGGAGAAACGGTTCCGATTCAGTTGCCGTGCTCAGACCGACGATCCATCCAGCGTCAGGGTGCAACTGGCAAAGGAGGAGGAACGCTACTGTAGAAACGACGGTTCTTGCCTAAGAGGGAACGTGAATCAAAATTCGTACGGTGACCTCGGTACGGAAGCTGGCTGGAGCGAATGGTCCGCGTGGCGACCTTGCGATCGTCCATGCGGCGGAGGTTCCCAACACAGGATCAGACAGTGCGAGTCACCTCCTTGCGAGGGTTTGTCCGTGCAGACCAGATTGTGCAACGTGCACCCGTGTCGGTTGAGCCAAGCCGGAAACGCAGCTACCGAGGGCCAGTGGTCCTGTTGGACAGACTGGTCGGAATGTTCGGTGTCGTGCGGCGTTGGCGTGCGTTTACGAACGAGAGAATGCCTCGGGCCGGAAAGTTGCGAAGGCCCGAGACTAGTTAGAGAGACCTGCGAGATGCCTAGCTGCGAGTCTCTGGCCGGTTGGGACTCGTGGTCGCGTTGGACGCCCTGTGACGACGATCATCAGCAACATAGGAAGAGACAGTGTCTTCAACATGGGAACGGACTGTGCCAGGGGCTCGGCAGAGAGACCCGCGATTGTTTGCCCGATTGCATGGATAACGGTGAGTGCGATCGAACGAATTCTCTTTCTGAATCATTCGGAAATGGCCCAGACTCGTTGACAATTTTTGTAGATTAATGACTAAGCGATGACTTGATAATAATTGATAATAATTTTCATCGCTTGCAAGTGATTGCATGTGTAGTTTGAAAAGCACGAGATAACTTTCGATAATGATTGCGCAGACGTTGTTTCTGAATTATTTGCAGGAACATTCTTCAGTCTAGATAAGCAAACGCTGCTGCACGTTGATGTATCGTTTGTGCATTGTACGATTTTTCAGACGTGAACGCTCTAAGATCAAGCATAGAACGTTCGGGTGTAACTATCGGAGCTGTGGTGGGCAGCTGCGTAGTCGGATTCCTGGTTGGCTTGGCCGTGACCGCGGTGTTGAGCTTCTGTTATCTGAAGCGGCGTCAACAGCGAATTCCTGGCAGCCCTCACTACATCAGCAAACAAAACTCCTACGTCTCGGTTCCGTTGAAGGATGTAAGTCGATAATCTCTGCTACACTGCGGATGTTTACGCGTTTACGAAAAATTTAAACACGAGAAGACACGTTGAGTAAAAGGATGTGGATCTGGTATTAGTCGTAAGTTGTTAGTCATTAAAACTTGGTTAGAATATTTGAAGATCCTGTTAGGATATTTAACTAGCGAAAGAAAGCACTATTTCTAGATCCCACATCTTTAATTATATTTATAAAAATATAAATTGTGTGTGATATTGGTCGTACCAAGTTTCACATCTGTGATACAGAGTTGTTAGTCATTAAAACTTTGTTAGAATATTTGAAGATCCTGTCAAGATATTTAACTAGCGAAAGAAACCACTATTTCTAGGTCCCATATCTTTAATTATATTTATAAGAATGTAAATTGTGTGTGACATTGGTCGTACTAGGTTTTATATCTGTGATACAGAGTTGTTAGTCATTAAAACTTTGTTAGAATATTTAAAAATCCTGTTAGAATATTTAACTAGCGAAAGAAACCATTATTTTTAGATTCTGTTTCTTTAGTTATATTTGTAAAAATATAAATTGCGTGATATTTTTAAACTAAACTGTTTCCTTTTTGATACAGGTAAATGCCAAAAGGCAGCCGAGTTTCTCCGGCAGCACGAACGGTAACGGAACTCTTCGCAGCAAGAACAATCCGAACGTGAACGGCCTCGGAAGTCCGAAACTGTACCCAAAGAGTTTAGACTACGAGTCTGCTACGTTGAAGCGTAACAGCCACGGCCAGCAACATATCCGAGTCGATCCTGATCAGGACAAATACTACTGAACGGGCAGCGTGCAATAAGAAATGAACAAATTTCTACTAGGCGGATTCTCGCGTTTCAACTATTCAACGCGAAGATCCGTAGCATCTAACGAAGAAAAGACATATCGCCATGAAGGCGTACTGCGAGAACGGCGGGCGAGAAACTAACGAACGCAACCACGACGTGACCATCCGCCTCTTCTGTAATTTCGAGCCACGAATGCTACGAGAAGCAACCTACGAAAGTAGGAGAGACGAGCTTTCAAAAGAAAAAAAAGGATTAGAAGGAGGTGTCAAGAAACGCGGACAGATCGCCTGCATCATCCAGTGATATTCATAGAATTGTTTATTTGAGAGATTTACAGAGACGATCGCTTTCAGTTTCGCGTCGAACGATTCAGTGCCATCGTTACGTCGAACGCGTGCATCGCTTAGTAATCGACAAAGGACGAGCACGTAACGTGTACCTATTAAACGTGTGTGGATGCGCGAGTGTGGCGTGTGTGTGTGTGAGAGAGAGAGAGAGAGATCTTGAAAGAGAGACCGTGAACGAATGAAGATTCGATATGATTCGCGCTATTTTCACTATTGGCTCACATTGAGTCGCGGTCACGCGCGTCGAAGAAAACGAGAAGAAGAGAAAGCAAAAAAAAAAAAAAAAAACGATCGTGAGACTCTCGAAATTCGAAACTCAACCGTAGACCACTAATTTCACTAATTTTTGGGTCGACGAGTCACGCGCTGCGAACGAGTGTACAAACAGACGACGCGACGTTCCGCGATCGAGCGAACATTTCGCGACGCCCAGAATGGCATAGAATCATGCAATAAAACGAACAATAACGCCCGCAAGAATCGGCTCCTCCTCGAGCGAATTCATTTCCTCCCGAGCTTTCTTTCTTTCTTTCTTTCTTTCTCTTTTGCTCGCTCCACAGCGAGATACATCAGTCTGTTTACAAATCGGCCGCCAGTTCCTCTATCTTGTCGATCACGTAATCCATGGAAGCGTTGCTCGGCGGTGGTTGACAGGTGACCACCATACGAAAGAAGTTACCGAGATTGCAGTAAGACAGCGGCGTGTAGCCAATCATCAACGTACCCTCCAGCATCATGCGTCCTTTTATCTTAGCCGTGATCTCGTACAATTTGTCCCACCATTCCTGAGTCTCCTGTTGAGTTCGCATGCTCGGTGGTATGTACCTATTACGAATTGGGCACGTGACATTCAGAATTGGACGGATGTGACGTGTATATATAAAGGAGCAACTGATAATCACCAAAAGCAAACGTTGCAGCCTTCGTATCGGGGGAGCACCAAGCGAAACCCTTCTCGTTCTTTGATTCGTTCGAAGAAATACTCGATCGCGGACATGGCTACTTCAACGGATTCGCGGAGACCTTTGGTCCCTCGTGCCTTCCACATCAGCCATAATTTGGTTCCGTCAACCTACGACGAAGACGTAGATAATCACACAGCGATTCATATGTTGGACTCTTACTCGATCCAGGAACTCTTACCTTCCTACCACATTGTAAACTCTTGTCACCCGTGTCCCAGGACACGTCGTAATGCTTGTCCTGCTGAAACAGATACCGCGCCCCAACGCAATTCGCCTCGTGCAGGGTGTTTTTCCCCTTGACCAAGAACAGCGAGCACTGAAGCGGCGCGCCGAGCATCTTGTGCGGATTCCACGCCACGGAATTCGAGCTGCCACCGATCGAAATGTATCACGATGCAGATTCATCGGAAGAAGAAGAAGAAGAAGAAGAAGAAGAACGAGACTGACGAAGGAAAATTGAGAAATACGTACAGTTCGATCCCCTTCAATCGATCCCGATATTTCTCCGACAGTAACATCGTACCACCGAGACATGCCTGTAACAGTGACGATTGTTCGAGGTTTCAAACGAAAGGTTTGTCGCGAAATTCGCTACGTTCATCATACTTGTTTTTTGTACGAACGTCAACGTGTAACCATAGGTTCTCCTCGCGGCAGATGGCCGCGATCTCCGGCAGTGGATCGAACGAGCAGAGGACCGTGGTGCCGCAGGTGGCGTTCACGAAGAAAGGTAAGTGTCCTCGCCTCCTGACCTTTGCTATCCCAGCCTTCAACTCGTCTGGCCGCATTCGTCCCAATTCGTCGCATTTCACCTGTCGAAACGCAGAATCTTTTAACTTCTTGCGCCAGTAAGTCCTGGTTCGCGGACCATAACGAGTGACCAAATCGTGTAATTCGTCCTCTTTTTGAATTCATCGATATTTAATTTGGATAGAAATTGCTAAGAAATAATAAATTTATTATCCGTTTTGCCTGGATTATATTTCAATATACTCAAAACTGAGAAAATATTGCAATTTTGAGACAAAAAATTCTCGACGTGCATGGCACGTCATTCCATCGCAAGATGTTAAAAATAAGTTGCGTATCAATTGATTGATATTATGTAGAAATGACGAATATTTCTCGTTATAATATATTGATGTGTTATTATATTTTTAACTGCAATATTTTTGACTACAACTGTAATTAATAATTATATTAATTATATTAGTATATACATATAATTATACTAATATAATTATAATTATATTATATATAATATAATTATAAATATACTATATAGTATAATATAATATAATATAATATGTACTATACTATAATAGTATATATACTTACATACAGTATATATATAATTATATTAATTATATTACATTAGTATATTATACTTTATATTAATATACTATAATTAATATAGTCTATTATAGTATATTAATATACTATAAGTATAATATACCATTAATTATACTTATTACATTAGTATTACATTAGTATATTAATATAATAAGTATAATTAATATACTATATACTATAAATATATTATTACTATAAGTATAATTAATATAGTATATTAGTATATTAATTATACTTATAGTATATTAATTATATTAGTATATTATACCAATTGTATTAATATAATTAATTACATTATTATTAATATTCGATTCGATGCTCGATTAGGATGTCAATAACATAACTAACTATAGTTGTACGTACTTGAAACGCGGTTAACGAACGAATGAGCGTACCTTATAGACATTATCGGTCCCCAGACCCAACCAGTGGGCTCCTTTGGTAATTGAATAGTGGCCAGCCTCACTGGTGAAACAGACCAATTGTGGAAGGCTCGCGAGACCTTTGGTTTTTACTTCTGGAATCATTTTGTATCTGGCCATCACCATTCCGTACATATTTGATAAACTACCGCCTGGGCATAAAATACCATCTCCTTCTGGCGACGGTGGATATCCAACCAATTTCAAAGATTGTTCTATCACTTGTTGCTCCATCATGGTGAACACTGGAGCTACCTCGTACGTGTATCTAGTAAATCAAGAAAAGGCGTACGATAAATTCAAAGCTAAATTCTAAATTCGAATTTAGGCTAAGGCGTAGGCTAAATTCTAAGAGATGCATTCTAACGATCAGATTTATCATTGTCATTTATCATAACTTATTCGGTGACAAATTGCCATATCCCCGTAACTGGTGGTGGTATAATCGAGTAGAAGGTGATTCTATGTGAAAAAAATGAACCGAAAAGAAAGAATATAAAATTCGTTCACCGAAGCTTTCGTTTTCGAGGAAATCGAGCTTGAAAATTAGGCATTAACAAAGATGATCGAAAATGGAACTGAACAATACAATAAACAACAACATATTAAAATTTATTATGTTAATAAATGATATATTAAATTATATATTAAATAAAAATTATATTAAACTATATATTAAATTTATTAAAATTTAAGTTAAAAAATATAAAAATCCGTGATCAAGTTGTAATTATATTAAATTTATTAAAATTTAAATTAAAAAATATAAAAATCCGTAATCAAGTTGTAATATTTGACGAGCGAAACGCGAATCCCTATTCGTCAAAAAGTATGAAACTGTATAAATATCCGCAGTCTACTGATAACGATACAATAATGTTGAAACGAAGATAAAACAACGTGAATGAAACCGCAGAAACTGTGAAGCTATAAACGCTATAAAAAAAAAAAAAAAAAAAAAAAAAAAAAAAAAAAAAAAAAAAAAAAAAAAAAAAAAAAAAAAAAAAAACTGGTTCGCAAGCCAAGTGAGAACTTAAAATTAACAGATAAAATCAGACAAGAAACTTACTGGCTGGTGTTAAGCACGTCGGTCAACCAAGAACCAGCCAAGCCATACTCATCGGTACCAGCGAACAGCTGGTTGTGAAAATGCGGACTGAACGTCTTCACCGAGTATCGAATCGTTTGTCGTATTACCGTCTCGATCTCTTCTTTGCTAGCCGGTTCATCGGTCAGTTCGATCGGCAACAGTTTCTGCGAAATGCAAACGAAACGTTCGAACGAGTGGTCGATCATCAGATGACATTCAACATACGCTCAATTAGCAATGACGATTTAACAGCAGTGGCTCATTACGATTTGATATTATTTCACGTTTAACCCTGCTGCGATCCTCGAACTTTTACGATTCAATCTTGCTCGCAATTTAGTAAACATCATTGAAAGACGAATGATGCGTACAAATAAGAATTTTTTCGTATTTTTTTTCTTTTTTTTTTTATATATATATTGGAGTTTAGAATCGCATCGACTACGAGGTCTTTAGCGAAGGTGCTGGAATTTTCTCTTTATATCTAGGTCTAGTAGTTGATAACGTTTATGCGTTGTTTCTGGCTAGAGCGGTGATTTGGTTTAATCCGTATTTACTTCTTAGGTTTCAGTATTTTCTGCATTCGTGTAGCAGGTGTTGGGTGGTGATTCGTTGGTTGCAGGTGTTGCAGGAAGGTGGTTCTGTTTTGCTTAGAAGGTATTCGTGTGTGATTGTGGAGTGTCCGATTCGAAGTCTAGTCATGGCTATCCTTTCTTTTCTGCTTATATTGTTGTTTGGTATGTTTTTGGTAGAAATGGTGTGCTGTGTCGTATATCTTGGTTCTATTTGTCGTAGTCCAAATTCTGTTCCGTTCTTCTCTTTCCGCTTTGGTCGTTGAAGCTAGTAGATCTTGGTGTGGGATTAGGATGTTGGATTCGTTTGTTCGGTCTGTTGTTGCTTCTTTGGCTAAGGAGTCGGCTTTTTCGTTTCCTTAGATTCCTTGGTGTGACGGGATCCAGGTGATTATTATTTGTTTATGGTCGTTGGTAAGTTCGGTGTATGTTTCCTGAACCATTTGTATGACTTCGTGCTTTTTGGTGGTATTGGTGTTTGTTATCGCGTTTATCGAAGTATCAAGGAATCTATGTAGATTACCGCTGATTGGTATTTTTTTTTTTCGTATTTTGTTTAGGTTTCAGATATTTTTTTCAATTTTGAAGAAGTACAAGTAACGCAGCATGATTTATAACAAAATCGCGAGCGTTTGGATTAGTCACACTTTTGAAGATTGAATTTTTCGTTTTTTTTTTTTTTTTTTTTATTAATTACTAATGCCAAACATACATATTTTCAAATGTAAATTTAGTACAGTATACTTCTGTACTTTTCGAATATTTACTATCAAAACAAAATGTCTATTAATGACTGAAAGATTATCCGATAGCAGACATTCTCTTCCGTTTTAATGTATTGTATCTTCGTCACAAAATCGAAAAATATGTTTCCATTTCTGCTGCGATAAATGTGAATCTCTGTTTTTTTAAATAACATAATATCTGAATGTTGTATTTTTATGACAGAATGCCTGCTAGCTCATTATCGGACATTTTGTTCTGACCTGATAATACTGAAATATTAAGATATTCGTTGCATTCAAAAACATGTAACACTATTATACAATATATAACATATAATTATTAAAAATCATAATAGAATGCACATGAACGATCTAGTGAATTAATAAATAAATTTAATTAACAAGCGTCACAAGCACAACTTACAGGGAACGTCATTTAAAACAGTGAAACATTTAAAAGTTTATGCTACGATCATTACTAGAATCACCGACGATTGATAAAACATAAAACTTTCTTTTTTTCAGACAAATTAGAGTGCAAGAAATTAGAAAAAGTTCGGAATAAAACAGAAAATATAAACTTTTACTTATGTTTAACGAGAAATCACCCAAATCCCTTTTCCTCTTTATTTGGTGTTTCTTTCTCTGCAAAAATTATACACTTTGGTAGTTCTAACGATAATCACGATTAGTACAGCGTCCATCACCACCGCCAAACAAAATTGCATGGCTCATGCGCTCGCCAGTCTCGACTAGCTCACCTGTAGCTCTTCCGGATAAACAAACTCCAAGACAGGCTTGTCGCCGGTACGGTCGAACGCGTCCTCTTCATCGAGAATCTCGAGCAGTCGTTTCAGCAGCTCGGTCGTAGCTTTCGCGGATGTTGGTGCGTCCATTCTGTGTCGTAAACTGTGCCCTGATAGATCGGACGGCGGTATCGAGGCAACAACGTTCCCCCACGCTCTCTCGTTACGACTTTCTCGTTGGTTCAGGCCTCTAGCCTGTTTGCTCAATCGTTTTGCTTTCGGTCGAACGCGCGGCGCGACATCTCGAGTCGTTGCAAGCGGCGCGTTACAACGCTCGCGTAAATGGTAGGTTCGGTGTACAGTATCGATCGGAAGTCTTGCGAAGAAATTCTTGGTCGAACGAATACGATGAAACAGATCGTTAAATCGTTGAAACGCAGTGAGAGATACTCGTGAAAATGTCATCTATCGGAGAAAAGTTTGGCACGCTTGTGGGATGTTTGAAAAAAATTGGCGCCAAAGTTCAGATATGCGTAACACTCAAAAAATCTTAATAAACATGGACGCAAAAAAAGAAAGAAGAACCATTAATTTAGGAGTTATTAAAATTTTACATACACGACATAAACAGACTCTGTTGCTTTAATATTTGAAACCAATCGAAAGAAATGTAAATTCAATCGTATTGGCACAACGTGTACGTATATTTGTGAGACGTACGAGGACTATCCTTTAAAACGTAACTCTCGTAACTACGAAACTAATTATTTTTGATTTATTAAGATTTTTTGCTTGTTTTAATAAACACAAGCGTTCAGTATATCGTTATATCAATAATTCTGAAGTTCCATTAACGCTGCAATGACTATATAATGGTTACACGATTATATTGAGTAAAGTATGAAACGAACATTGATCTCTGCGTGAAATATGTACTTGAACTATTCTTAATTTCCTATAATTTTGCTAGTCTTGTAATTTCTACGTTTCTATGTTCTCAGGTTTGTTTAAATATAATTAATTATAGCCAATGAAATTTCATAGTGACTGTACATATTTATAACTCGAATGTTTACTGAAATACGCTCATCTCATAAATACGTTGACGTTAAGTGTTAGATAAAACTTTTCTTTTTTGAAAATGGGGGCAAAAGATCGGAGTAAAAATTTGATAACTGCAGTGAACTTGAGATACTACTTGCGCTACGTGTTCATACTTTTCCAATTGTATATTTGCAGTAAACAACTGACAACTTCTATGTACATTTTCAGACTCAGTGGTTTCAAATGCATTCGAGTATACTGTTATAACCATATTATAATCCTGTCTTATTGCAACGTTAATTTCGAACAGTTTTATTTAACACGCGTGATGTGTTCGCAAAAATTCTCCACGATAAATAATATTTTTTTTTTTTTAATATTTTCAGTCACAGGAAGACCTAATCTAACATTTCTCGCGCCTAGGCAATAAACCTAAACATTTTCCCTTGCCATATGCAACATTACTAACAAACGAAGATCTGTTTAAACAATTCGAGTTTAAACGTCGAGTTTAAACAATTACAAAAGCTGCAACAAACATTTCTTGGACTCTTCTTTTTTTTTCTTAAATCGAATATTTCTGAACGTGACAATATCGTAGCTACTTTATTTCTACTGAATACTTTCGCGAGTATATACTCTATATACAATCGATGCACGCACGTTTTCACGCAAGTTCAACTATACTATCCGATAACGGCGAATCGAGTCGTTCTTGCCTTAAAACAGACGTTTTATCGTTGCTTGGCGAGAGAGCGAGAGAAGTTGGATTCGTTTCGCGCGAACGGATCGTCGGTGGAAGATAGGATTCGGCCAACACCACCGATGAGATCGATCGGAAGCCGTGGGACCAAGCCCCTCATCGAGGCCCATTGGCCCTCGCAGAGCTCGTGGAACGTCAAATGCAGCAACAGTTTGCCACCGAGGGTGCCGGGGCCTCTGCAAACTGCCCCGGCGCCAAATTCCCAAACACCAGGATCCTCGACCGGCCTCGTCGCGTTCACTTGCGCCAGGTACATTCGTTTCAGCCACATGGCCAGGTAAGAAGCGGCGCAGTCGCAGTGCCACGGATTTCTAGCAAGGCGAAGCTGCTCCATGAATTGAACACCGTCGAAAATCCGTGGCGGCAACGAGGACAGATAATTCGACTCCAGCTGTCTGCGCATTTGAGGAGCTCTCTTGTAGATGATGGATCGTTTAATTTTTTTTTTTTTTTCTTTTTTGTATTAAGGGGTCAGGAGAGTTTGAAATTTGCAAAAAATCGACTTTTGTTCTGTTTTAACCCTTTGCCGCCCCTAACGCTCCAGAACGCTCCTCCAACACGCGCTGTACAACAATGCGTGTCGAAAGACATATAACACTATCAGCAGAGGTCCAGACTGTGTTCTACTTGGACAAACGTTACTGCACATTTTGCTTATTGTTTATTCCATAATTAATAGCTCTGGCATCGAAAATTTAAATACTTAAAAACGCGATTATTGCGGTTGTGCTATGGTATTTAAAACGTGAGCGGCAAAGGGTTAAATAGTAGTTTGAAGTCTTGGAAATAAGATGCGAAGGGTAGCTAGCCTTTAAAACGACTTATTTTTGGGATAATAATAATAAATCCGCGGATACAGATTAATTGAATTTGTGTCACTGTTTGCAACTTCAAGCGCTATTATAAAGTGTGAATCGTGTGAGTCAAATCTTACTTTTGGCGAATCTAATATTAAAGGACTTGGATTTAATTTAGTTGTGAATTGTAAGAACTGTGAGCCGCGATATAGTAAGTAAAAAAAAGTAAGTAAAGGATACATGTGAAAAATGACGTTCTGCAACTTTAAACGCGTTTTTCTCGAAACTAGGTTTTTAGAAACGGTGTGCAAGATATCTCGGAATCTAACCAACCGATTACTATGAAACTTGGTATGTATCTTTAGTGTAACATTTACCAGGGATTGTCGATCGAACATGTTTTAATTTTTAACAATTTCGAAAAATATAAACAAAAAACTTAGAAATTTTTATGAATTCGATGCGTCAGAAACAAATCGCTGCTATTTTCGTAATTTTCACAAAAATGAAAATGTTGGGTCGTCAATCCCTAGAGAATATTGTTTACTTTTGAACTTTTTTTTTTTTGCCTTTTTGTTGCAACTAATCCTGTTTGGCTGGACTCATGCACACCGACAGGCAATGTAAAATAATGTTATGTGAAAGGATGCCGTTAGAAAGTTAAATAAGAGCCCTTTCCCTTTCTTTCTTTTAATGTTGCTTTTCATAGTTCAAAATAAACCACGAAAGTTCGTGTCAATCAAATATGTACTTTTTTTTTTTACTAGCCCTCCTAATTATTCGTAATTTTTAGGCCCGTCAAACTATCCTGCCTCCTTTAACCTCTTGCGCTGATTCTAAATTCTCAATTTTCTGATTCTAAAATTGCAATATTTTCTCAATTTGTAAGTATGTTTAAGTACAACTCGGGCAAAACACAAATAATAAATTTATTACTTCTGAATAATTTCCGACGAGTTCGAAAGAGAAAGAAAGCGACAAATTATTGTATACGGTTCGGTCGCTCGTTATGGTCCGCAATCAGTTGCCAGCGCAAGTGGCTAATCACATCTCTAATTACAGACGAAACAGTCCCAACAAATTCACATCTGTTGACTATCGTTTAAAACATGTATCATCAACAGACAATGAAATGTTCTTCGTTCAACACAAACATTAACATCGTTACTTACAATTTTCGCAGATTCGGCGTATCTTCGAACAGCTCTGGGTGCAGAATCCTCAGGTGGTTGGAGTGGAGGAAAAGAGAGGTCAGATTCGACAAACCGTGAAACGCGCCACGTGACAGGCTCTCAATGCCATTCGCGTACAACACCAGCCTCTCCAAACCAGTCGAATTCGTGAATAGTCCTGGCGTTAAGTTTCGTAAACGATTGTGCCCCAGTTGAAGTTCTTTCAACGCCACCAGGCCTTGCAAGGCCGACGAATCGATCTACGAGGAACAAAGAACGCGGGTCGTGTGACTGGATGAAAATGAAAGTAGGTAGATCGGTTCCAAAACTAATTTCTCAGTTCTGGAAAGCTCGACCGAGGACTCAACTTTCGAAACTTGAAACTCTCGAAACTCGGAATGTCGACTTTATTTTGCCAGAGGGACTTGTTGTTCTAGGAACTGGAATTAACATTTCTATATAAAGTTTTATTGGCCACAGTTGAACAAAAACATGTACAAAAGTATCAAATTCAGATTCTTGACATTCGAACTTTTTTTTTTTTGGATCCAATCTTCTGTCTCTGTCTGATTATAGTCAGATGTTCAAAAAATTCAGGCGTAATAAGATAATTTTTTTGATAATTTCTCCAAATTTGGGTACATTACATTACCATTGTCCTGCTTATATCCTTAAAAAAATGAAAACCGAGTGTTTGCGAGGCATTTCGGGTCAACCTCGAACTCTATTCTTTATTCATATTACAAATGATTCTTCGTTCACTGATTTTATACTTTCTCTCTCGTCCGAATCTCGAGAGTTTCGTGTATTCACGAATAAACTTTATCGCGTAGCTCATATCTGAAAGACTTAACCTCTTGCACTGGAACGACGTCGAGAACTTTTTGTCCCAAAATTACAATATTTTCTCAGTTTTAATTATACAGGGTGTTTCTTAACTTGTGGGATCCACTTCGAAAGCTAATTGCACGCCTAAAAATAATGAAAAAAAGTCACATAAATATATGTCCTATCTGTCTTCGTTTACGAGATATAGTGAATTTTATAAACAGAGCAAACTCTAGTAAGCTAGTTTCACCAGGGATGGTATATTCAATTTTCATAATAATCATAATTGGGATGAAGAAAACCCACATGTTATTGTGCATTCAAGACATCAACACCAGTTTAGTTTAAACGTATGGGCAGGAATAATTGATAAATTTTTNCGACAAATTCGAGAAACACCAGGAATGATAGAGAGAGTAACCAGATGAATGACAAGACGCGTGCAGGCTTGTCTTCAAATGCAAGCTAGTCATTTCGAGCATCTTTTGCAAAAGTAATTAAAACAGAAAATTCATTGCATCTCATAAACGAAGACAGATAGGACATTTGACTTTTTTTCATTATTTTTAACCGTACATCTCCTGAAGTTGGTCGCAATACACCCTGTATTTAAGTATAACCAAGGCAAAACAAATAATAAATTTATTACTTCTGAATAATTTCTATCCAGTGATATCGCACCGACGAGTTCAAATAGAAAAAGAAAGCGACAAATCATTGTATACGGTTCGGTCACTCGTTACGGTCCGCGATCCAGTTGCCAGCGCAAGGGTCTGAAAGATGGATCAACGAACGAGACTCGCTAGTTACACGCGATATTTACTCTGGCTATCTTGTTGTTGGACAACTCGAGGGATCGTAGACGTTCGAGCGGCGACAGCAAACTCGCCGGTATCTCCGTCAGTTGATTGCCCCTTGCGTTCAACTCGCGAAGCGACGATTGCGCGCGAAACAGCTGGTCGGGTAGCTCTTTCAGTCGATTCTCCTCCAGGCCGAGGTACTTTAGGCTCGTCAGGTCCTTGAACAGGTCCACTGGGAGGATCGAGAGCCGATTCTTTCCCAGCAGGAGCTCCTCCAACGAAGACAATCCGCGAAACGTTTCCGACGCGAAGCTCGAAAGTCGATTGCAAGAGAGGTCGAGCAAGACTAGCGAGGTGGTGCTCAAGAAGAGACTCTCTGGCAGAGTTCGCAACCTGTTGGAGGACGCGTCTCTGCGTCGTGACGATTAATAATCGAACGTTTAAACTATTATATAACTCTGAAAAAAGATATCGTACAACAATCGATGTTGTACGATTTCCAACTTTCTTACGAAGTCACGACGATTTCGATATTTGGCGCTCGAGTATATAATAGATATTGTAGATCGAGATTTTTTTACAGATGAAAGTTCCGTGCGAATTTCAGCTATTATTATGGGAAACGAACAAATATTTGTTCGTTTGATTTCAATGCTCCATTATTATCTGCATTATTATTATTATTATTATTATGTCTGCTCGTTCCGGGACAAATTTAAATTCAAATTTAAACGAGCATTCTATGATGACCTTTGCTCGCGTTTGATCAAATAATTATAAATTATTTCAACCTCTGGTCCGAGTTTATACAGTCAACTTAACACGCTGTAACGACTGGCTATTATTTTTTGTAATAATTTTCACCATAAAAATTCGTCTCACTAAAAAACAAGATTTTACGGTTGTAAAAGAAACGATCAGCAAGTGTGAATCAGTAACTGTAAAAAGTAAGAAGACAGAAGTCACTAAATGTGTCAACGAAGGACTATAAATATATGTATTTAAATTTGTTATAATTCATTTTGAGCACCAACCATTGAAAATTCTATGAAAATTGCACGAAAGTGTATCAATTAATAGTGTTGATGAAATTTCAGAAATATCCACTTCGACACGAAGAATATTAATTACTTAAACTTTGAAAATCACATGGCGCCAAGTTACTACAAGCACCAGTTCTTATAAGACACTAAGATGAAAAATTGCCTAGCGCGAACTAGAATTGAACGAGCTGTTCGTTCTGATCTGAAAGCAATGATGAATGAAAGAAAGATGGCGAACGATATATCGTCGAGCAAATTTCAACTGTCCCCTTTCCTCCAAACTTCGTCCAAATCTTCTCCATCTTGATGAAGAAAAAAAAAAAAAAAAAAAAAAAAAAAAAAATCAATTGATTTAACCAACACTCACAAAATACGAAGATTTCGCGTGCTGAGAAATTGCGATCGATGCAACTCCACGAGCAAATTCTTGCTCAGCCTGATCCGCGTGACGGCGTGCAGCGAGAAGAACAGGTTCAGCGGAAGATGCTCGATCGCGTTGTCGCTGAGATCTCTGGAAAGAATCGGCTCGATCATGGATCGCGAGAAACTGGCTTCGTCCTTTTTCTACTCTACTCACAGGTGATTCAAACGCGTCATGTCCAAGAAGGTGTCCCTGTGAAGCGCCGTCAGCCGATTGCCAGCCAGATCCCTGTAAATGTACCGGTTCTTAACGATTCTCACCGAGTTTCCACGAATTCCATTCCCTTTCTCGCGAAAGACGAGAAAGGAGTGAAATCAAAGGAAGAAAAAGAGAGAGAGAGAGAGAGAGAGAGAAGCTTACAGTTTCAACACATCTCGGGGAACTAGCTGCGCCGCGGGGAGGTCCAACAGATTCTGCCTCCAGCAGGACACCGATTTCGTCTCCGGTTGACACCTGCACGGCCCCTCCGCGCAGATCTCCCAATCCTCCTCGGCGGAGCTCATCTGCCAAACTGCGAACGATCCGCATTTTCCCGATAGAAGCAACGAACGTCAACGAGCAACGCTGCAAGACTGCAAGAAACTCGGCTGGCTTACCGGGCTGCTCGACCGCCCTGAGTCTTCTCTCCAGGCGAGACAAACGACTCTCGAGCTCCTCGAGGATCGTCATCGTCGCGACGCTACTGCTACCGTTCGTCGAGGTCGTCGCCGATCGCTCGAGACTCGGCACCGAGTGCCCGCAGCTGCGAGACAATTCCAATCGCGGCTTGCTGCTCGTTTCGAGAAGCATCGCCGTGATCACCATCAACATCGGCCGGACAGTCCGCAGAATCATCCTGCTGGCCAAAGCGAGAAATCTCTCCTGTCCCTCGAATGTTCGTTCGACTCGCGAAACTTCGTTCCACTGTAAGGGGTTCTCTCTCCTCTTAGTCTCCCTCCATACTGCCGAAGGGCTTCCGGTTGCTGCGTTGTCGTTAATAGTCGCAGATTTTTTTCTCGCGCAACGCTCGAGATTGGCAAACAATGGCAAGCTTCTCTAACGCTAACACGACCACGCGATCGTTTATATACCACTTGTCGTAATCGCTGAATGGCCCCCTGCTTCTCTCCCTACCGCCCCATCGGCATCTGGCCAAAGGCCACTCGCCTTCGCTCCCATTTCGAACCCTAAATCTGTCGCTGTTGCGTTCCTTTCAAAAAAAGAAGAAGAAGAAGAAGAAGAAGAAGAAGAAAAGGGAAGAAAATGTTTGATGAAAATCACGGTTTCTCTGTTTTACGAAATCCTTTATTTCTTTTGTTCGGTATCATTTCCATTCGAGTGTTTGATTCTCGCTAAAGCTAGATCTAGAGCCAAAGCCCAAAGCGCGACTTCGCATAAGCGTTCAAGCATTTGGCGGGTTTGTTTCCTGTTTGTGTGTGAGCGGAGCAGCCGGATAAAATGAGAGATTCGTTCCTCAAGAGAGAACCACGCCGCCGGATCCAGGACACTCGCCCTTGTTCTTCAACACCAGCTCTGTAAGGACCAATCGAAGTGAGACGCGCGCAAAATTTCGTTCACGTGAAATTTGATGATTAAACCGCGAAGACCCAAATTTGAAAGATGCAGATTATTTCTGTGTGAAATGAGAGATGGAAGGAAGTTTACATCGGGTCGTCGATGTAATGTGAATCTTCCGAGTGTTTCAATTTGAAACAATGGGAATTTAAAATTGAAATTAAAAAAATATGCTATATATATATATATAGGCAAATATGCACTTTGTAATTTATCAGTTTATAATCTTTCAATTTTAGCTTAATAGTTGGAATGTTGTTTAATTGTGTAATCTTTATATAATTTCAATTTTTATAATCTATAATAGTTTAATTTTATAATCTTTCAATTTTAGCTTAATAGTTGGAGTGTGTGTTTAATTATATAATCTTTATAATTTCAATTTTTATAATCTATAATAGTTTAATTTTATAATCTTTCAATTTTAGCTTAATAGTTGGAGTGTGTGTTTAATTATATAATCTTTATATAATTTCAATTTTTATAAACTATAACAGTTTAATTTTATAATCTTTCAATTTTAACTTAATAGTCGGAGTCTGTGTTTAATTTTATAATCTTTATAATTTCAATTTTTATAATCTATAATAGTTTAATTATATAATCTTTCAATTTTAGCTTAATAGTTGGAATGTGTATTTAATTATATAATCTTTATAATTTTAAGTTTTATAATCTGTAATAGTTTAATTTTATAATCTTTCAATTTTAGTTTAATAGTTGGAATGTTGTTTAATTATATAATCTTTATATAATTTCAATTTTTATAATCTATAATAGTTTAATTATATAATCTTTCAATTTTAGCTTAATAGTTGGAGTGTGTATTTAATTATATAATCTTTATAACTTTAAGTTTTATAATCTATAGTAGTTTAATTTTATAATCTTTCAATTTTAGCTTAATAGTTGGAGTGTGTTTAATTATATAATTATATAATCTTTATATAATTTCAATTTTTATAAACTATAACAGTTTAATTTTATAATCTTTCAATTTTAACTTAATAGTCGGAGTCTGTGTTTAATTTTATAATCTTTATAATTTCAATTTTTATAATCTATAATAGTTTAATTATATAATCTTTCAATTTTAGCTTAATAGTTGGAATGTGTATTTAATTATATAATCTTTATAATTTTAAGTTTTATAATCTGTAATAGTTTAATTTTATAATCTTTCAATTTTAGTTTAATAGTTGGAATGTTGTTTAATTATATAATCTTTATATAATTTCAATTTTTATAATCTATAATAGTTTAATTATATAATCTTTCAATTTTAGCTTAATAGTTGGAGTGTGTATTTAATTATATAATCTTTATAACTTTAAGTTTTATAATCTATAGTAGTTTAATTTTATAATCTTTCAATTTTAGCTTAATAGTTGGAGTGTGTTTAATTATATAATTATATAATCTTTATATAATTTCAATTTTTATAAACTATAACAGTTTAATTTTATAATCTTTCAATTTTAGCTTAATAGTTAGAGTGTGTTTAATTATATCATCTTTATAATTTTAATTTTTATAATCTATTATAGTTTAATTTTATAATCTTTCAATTTTAGCTTAATAGTTGGAGTGTGTGTTTAATTACATATCGAGTTAGTAAATAATAATAAATTCTCCTTAAAAGAAATTTTCAAATAATGCCATCAATACGTAGTATATACGACCATTAATTTAAAATTAAATAGGATCACAACTTAAGAGTTAACTATCTTCTAATTTCTCTATATCATACTTCTTACATTTATTTATCTATATTTAAATTCGTTCCAAGCTTCAACCTCGTTGATAGAAAATCGATATTTCATATAGCACGCGTAACTCGTGAAAAGAAAATTCCTACGAATGTTCGAATATCTGTATCTTTCAAACGCGTGTCGAATTACCACAGTCGAGATTCTGCATACAATGCATTGTGTTTCAAACTCCGTCGTTTCTTACTATCCGCGATATTTAATCTTGATTGATTTAATCAGTGATTCGAACAGATACACTTACTCGTTCCCATTTCGCAGTTGTGAACGTCCAGGGCGCACTGAGTACCAAACGTCCTCGGTTTGAAGTTGGCGTCGTTCGGATCGTGCACGCAAATCGGATCGTACTCGAGACCACATTCCTTCGCGCAGTCCTTTTTGTTCCTTTTCGCCGCTTCTTTCGCCGCCTTCACGTCTTTCGACGCGGTTGCCGTCTCCTTGATCTCCTTCGGCTCTTTAACTCGTTTCGTTGACACGGTGGTGGTCGTGTCCGTCGGCACGGCGCTCGTACTCTCGATTAAGGCGAGGGCGCACACCACCACCAACGCTAAATCGCGGGAGAAAAAAACGTGCAATTTCTTTTTCAGCGTCTTTTCAAACTACAGTCAGTGTGTTCTATCGTTGTATAGTTGTATGTACAATCAGAAATTTCGTGGCAAAACGAGTAATATCAAACCGTGACTCGATCTATATCATTCTCAAAACGTAAAATAAAGTGAAAAATCGTTTTGATTCGAGATAAATTGTCGGATATGAACGATGTGAAACGAAATTTATTTCCTTTTCTTTATTTTTATCTATATGATAATTTGACGAAGCTACTGTACTATAACTTTACTATAACGATACTATAACTTTTTATGGACTTCTGTTGTATAATGTGTTAATTTTGTTTATTTCCTGTCTAACACACTGACGAAGTTTAGAAGTTTAGATAAAATACGAGACTTGATTTGTATATAACGAGAAAAATGAAATAGAACGACAGTTAGTCATCAGATAGTCATCAGTTTATTTCCAAGTGTACTATAATATTTTCAGAATCTAACGGCAGAGAATTATTGTACCCGAGAAATACTAGTTAGTTTTAACAGAATTTTTGCAGTCAACACGAATAAAATATTACAAGTGAAAGGAAAGAGAATCATGACAGGTTGTGATACTAATCATCGTTTCTAAATTTAAAATCTTGCGAACCTTGGTGGAGGAATCAGCGAGATAAAATTTTGTTTACACTTTTAAAATGTATCGATGGCTGTGAGCGTTTCAGAAAATCGGAAAAAATTTGTACAGATATTTTGAATAATGACGAACATACGTATACAAAACTTTCGCGAGAAGATGGATGCAGTTATAAAAAATGATAAGCGAAAGATATAAACGTTTCCATTATTTTTCCAGTATTAACAAATATATTTTTCCGTTATTAAGAAATTTATCAGGTATATTTGAACTTTAGACGCATCATACAAACGCGCACAATTTTTCTCACAAGTCTCGCCTTCAAGAACATCCAGTTTGAAAATTTACCGAGACGCACCCGATTTTTAACCAAACTCTGCCCTAAAGATGAATCTCTAAACGGAAAAATTTTATTCTACATTTGTCACTTGTCAGCCGCCTGTGATTAATCTAGAATTGACGAAACTCACAGCTAATAAATATAATTATAAATTTAAATCAAATGTACCAGGTACACCGAAATTATAAATACAAATTTTCAAACTTGACTATCTCGAAAGCGACATGTTGAATGAAAAAAACTTTATTCTTCACTTTCGATCTATTTCTCCTTTTTTTATTTTTTCACATAGAATTATTCCTATCCCAATCATAGGTACTTTCAACACTATCATGAATAAATAATTAAATAATTACTCTATGAATAAATAATTAAATAATCGACTTTCCTTCTCTCGTTTGCGCGCGATCGAAGTCAATCACGTCGATTGTCGAAGTCAATGGGACTTGTTTCTTGGAATTCTCCTTCCAGTTCTCTTACTCACCTAACAAAACAATAGGCTTCATGGCTCTCGTTGCGCAGAACACCCGATGGGATTGCAAATCTTGGTCGATCGAACAACAGGGCGAAACAAAACGATACTCACCGGTCGTGGCAAAAAAACGACTGAAACGTCGCCGGCTGTGGCGGTGGCGTTTATAAACGGCGGCCCCACCGTGTTCTCCAGTCCGGAAAACTCGAGAAGACCACGAGAAGATCACGTAACGGCAATCTTCGAAATTACTCGCGCCTCCGCTCTTTACCGACGCGGGAATTGCTAACTCGTCGCGATTTTGCTGAAAATGGGGCAAAACGAGTGGAAAGAAACGAAAGTATCTACGACGCAGTCCAATGTCGACTATATGTATGTTACACATGTATGTATTTATTCAGTTAGAAGACGGCAAGCTGCGTAGTTGCTCGTAATAATACGTACAGTGGGTCAGAAAAGTATTGACACACCTAGTTTTTGCGGCGATATACAGGGTGTTTTATAACTTGTGGCACCCATTTCGGGAGCTGATTGCGCGCCTAAAAATAATGAAAAAAAGTCACATAAATATACGTCCTATCTGTCTTCGTTTATGAGATATAGTGAATTTTATAAACAGAGCAAACTCTATTAAGCTAGTTTCACCAGGGATATTCAATTTTCATAATAATCATAATTGGGATGAAGAAAACCCACATGTTATTGTGCATTCAAGACATCAACGCCAGTTTAGTTTAAACATATGGGCAGGAATAATTGATAAATTTTTAATTGGACCTTTTTTTCTTGATGGGAAACTAACTGAACGCACAAAGTACGTTGATTTTTTAAGCACGCGTTTACACGAAATATTAGAGGAAGTTCCAGTCGATGTTAGACTTCGTATGCGGTTTATGCATGATGGAGCTTCGCTGCGTTTTAGCCGAGTGGCTAGGCAATTTTTAAATCAACACTTTGCAAATAAATGGATCGGTCGTGGAGGTTCTATTGCATGGCCTGCTCGTTCTCCGGATTTGAATCCATTAGATTTTCATTTGTGGTGACATTTAAAATCTATTGTATACGCAACATCGATTGAAAATGCTGAAATACTACGAAATAGAATAGAGCAAGGCTTCCGACAAATTTGAGAAACACCAGGAATGATAGAGAGAGTAACCAGATGAATGACAAGACGCGTGCAGGCTTGTCTTCAAATGCAAGCTAGTCATTTCGAGCATCTTTTGTAAAAGTAATTAAACCAGAAAATTCATTGTATCTCATAAACGAAGACAGATAGGACATTTGACTTTTTTTCATTATTTTTAGGCGTACAATCAGCTCCCGAAGTGGGTCCCACAAGTTACGAAACACCCTGTATATGCATTTATTCAGCTAGAAGACGGCAAGCTACGTAGTTGCTCGTAATAATACAGTGGGTCAGAAAAGGTGTTGGCACACCTAGTTTTCCGGCGATATATTAGCAAAATTTATTTTCATGGTTCGCTAGATACAAAAGTAACGTTAGCACGATAGCAATAATAAATTGTACAATAATAATAACGCAAAACATGTAAAAATACACTAATTTACATTGCGTTTAATGGCGGAATGTTATCAAAATTAACTTTAAATATACTTTTGTAATTAGTGTGATCAATGTCATGGAACGATATGACGCCAATATTAGGAAATGGCTTGTCTTTAGATCATTAAAAATATTTTATATTCTGTTTTCATGGTAGAAAAAAAATCCTCGCGTGTCAATATCTTTTTGAGTCTTTTGTGAATTTTGTATAATTCATTATTGAAAATTGCTGTCACAAGCATTACCTTTGTACGTAGTAAATTAAATTAAATGTATGAAATTTATATGATTTTGTATGTAATAAATTATTGTTTGGAAATAGATTTTCTATGTAGTAAATTATTGTATGAAAACAGATTTTGTTTGTTTTCAGAAAAATATTACAAGAAAACTAAATATGCCAATACAGCCTTATCCAAAATAGAATATTCTTATAGAATAGATATTATTATATTTAAACTGTTTCGAGAGCCATATTGATCAACTCCATAAACTCCAAAAAAACATTGAAATATTATAAACACTAATTTTTAAATTTTAAACCTAAGAATATGCTATTACTTGTGCCATTTTTTTTTTTTTTTTTTTTTCATTGAACGAACTTATGAAAGTGAGTAATTTGTTTCTTAAAGACTGAATATTTTAATGAAATTAGAAAAATTAATAAAAAATGTAGTTGATCAATTTGGACTTTTAAAGGCTCATTCTCCCCGAAAATGGAGAAATTAAACAATACCTTATATAATGAAGAATGTATTAAACACGATCTATTCTTATACAAATACACGTTCAGAAATTCTATCATTATATCTGTTTATTTCAAAGAATCTGCGAAGCATTAATATTAATGTATCGACACGTCGATTGTCACGATGATTTATTCTTATAAATATTTTGAAAGAAAAATGTAACACTCTCGTTCAGAAATCCTGAAACAAGCATTATTATACATTTATTTTGAAAATTAAATCGTTAACCAAGAAATTTATCTGCACAACAATGTGAAAACGTTGACACATTGATTATCACAATGCAGTTGGCGTTTTTTTATTTCCACGAGTATTTTAAACACGACTGAAACGTAGCTGTAGCAAAAATAGCCAGTGACTGGAATATGCAACAAAATGAGTAACAAGGTCAACTTCTTCTCCACAATCTGACAATCTGATCTTTAGAAACACGGCCTACAGATTTTTAATAAATTCGAACTTGATACGAACAACACTTTCTTTCTAGCCTTTATTTAATTTAAGCCTAAGCAGTTAACAATCGTAAATGAGAAATTTTATTTCTCTACAAATTTATCTACAATAAATAGAAATATTATGAATATAATTAGTCAAGGTAAGAAAGAGTTTCGAGCGGGAGTGTACACGTACTAGCTAAGTATAAACGCATAAATACGCGAGCGAGCAATGTGATCGCGGATGAATCACTTCGGTGGCGATCGATTCGGAAAAATTTCCACGGATATCGATGAATCGGCTGTACACAGGTGACGCTAAGACTTTATTCGATGTCGTCGCGTCTCCTCCATGATATAATTCTGCAGCAATTGCTCGTAATCGGGCCACGATTGGTCGTTCTCAAACGCTCCTCGAACTTGGCACTCGAGAGTCGAACATTTGCTGGAACGAGAACCGTTCGTTGCTTCGTGCTGCCTCAACGCTTCGTTCACCACCAAGGTCAGGAGGTTCAGCCCATCCCATATCTTCCAATTAGCTGAAAGAATGAAACGAGGATCGTGCTAATCATGATAAACACGATTTTTGTTAAGCTACGAAGCTGATCGAATCAACTGAATTGACTTCGTTACGAGTGAAATTTTATAACGAAGTCAATTCGTCAAACATTATCGATGAAACATTGTGAAACGATAGGCTATTAATTCTGATAATTCTTTCGCCACGTATATCATACGAAATTAATTTATCAAGCATGCGTGTATCGAGGTTTTCAACGTAACACGTTTAAAGTATTCCGTATTCTTCAAACGAAACAAATTTTATTTTACATTTTTCACTGTTAATTATTATCTAAATTTGAGTATAGTTTAGTAGAAAATTTTGTCCTCTCTTGTCGACTTATTTTTAGACGTAGATTATCACACTCTGGCCGATTGTTTCACAACTTTGGAAACACTTTGTACGTTTCATAAATTGCAATTCGATATCTCATAAATTACATTTCTCGATGTATAATATTTATTATCTGTATTATAATAATAATATACAAATAATATAATTATAATATAATAATATAATAATATATAGTGTAAGTGTAATATAATAATTATTATAATGTAAATATATTATATGAGTGTAATATAATAATTATAATAATATAAATATATTATATAAGTGTAATATAATAATTATTATAATCATAAATATATTATATAAGTGTAATAATAATGTATAATAATTATTATATTACGCTTGCAAAATTGTTCAAAAGTAGCCATTAATCGGTTTATATCTTTCTTTGTCGAGTCAATACAACGTTATTAGTCGACAAATTATTACGCAGAAGTGCCAGATATTTTTCAATCAAAAGCAGACGAACGAACAACTTTTTGTTGAACCGAACGTGAGCCATTTTAATTAGCTTCATTAATATTGCATATATAATACGTACGTGTGTATATGGACAGTCAGTTTTAAATGATTCGAAATCAATCGACTTAATTGATTGAAAATTGCTTGATAATAATGCGAGTAATGGTAATCTTGAACGGTAATCGTGAATACGAATGAGAAGCCATTACCATTTTGCAAGCCACGTCCTTCATCCTCGTCGTCATCGTCGTCTTGCGCGTTGTTCTGCACGTTCACCTTCTTAATCGTCTTTTTAATCTCCAATTTCGGAATGAAAAGCAACAGACAGATAACGGCAATGAACTTGACTATCATCTTGAAAAGAACCAGCTTCAAGAGAATCTTGGCCAAAGTGAAGGCGTTCAGTTTGAGCGCGAACGGCCAGGAGAAGTCGATCGATGGAAAACCAAGATGCACCGATTCGGTTATTCCATGTGGTGCTCCATAAGCAACATGTGGAACTCCGTAAGCTAGAATATTTGTCGTAAATATACTGTCCGCATATATCACAACTGTTATATAATTTATGCAACTGATATTCACTAAGAATACTGGCAATGACGTTTTTCCTTTTCGCACGATTTTAATTTCGTTCAACAATTTTTGAACAATTTCTTTTTCGTGAACTAGATCTCGATAATTTCTCTTTTTGTAATTTACTGTTCTAAGTTCGTAATTTACGATTCTTTTTCCAGTTACTTTGAACATTGGGCTTTGGACGATGGAAGCGTCAAGATCTCGATAAAATTATAAAAATACAAAAATGTTTCCAGAAACATTGAAAAATTTGTTTCACGATCAAGATCTTGAAGTTTTATATTTTATCTGTATGTATATTATATATATTATATTTATATACTATATATATTATATATATTATATCTGTATATATTATATATTATATTTATGTACTATATATATATTATATATTTATATTTAGGTATTATTATTATTATATACCATATTATAATCTATTATTATATTATATATTATTATTAAATACTATGTCTGTATTAATCTATTATTATTACATATATATTACACTCTACTATATATTATATATATTATATACATATATTACTCTTATATATTTAATTACTCTTTACTATATTCTTTACTATACTATATTTATATCTGCCATATATTTAACTATACTCTAATATATATTTATCTACTATATCTACTATATATTTAATTATACTCTACTATATATTTATCTACTATATCTACTATATATTTAATTATATATTAATTATACTCTATATTTATATCTACTATACATTTAATTATATATTTAATTATATTGTACTATATATTTATCTATACTATATCTACTATATATATCTACTATATATTTAATTATATATTAATTATATTCTATATTTATATCTACTATACATTTAATTATATATTTAATTATATTGTACTATATATATTTATCTATACTATATCTACTATATATCTACTATATATTTAATTATACTCTTTAATTATACTTTTAATTATATTGTACTATATATTTATCTATACTATATCTACTATATATACCTACTATATATTTAATTATACTCTTTAATTATACTTTCAATTATATATACTATATCTCGATCATTCTCGATTTATTGCCAATATTACGCACGCGCGACATTCTCGACAGTGTCGAACGAACGCGAATGCAATACAATACCTCGTGTCTCACCTGGCTGCGGCTGCGGCTGCGAATACACACCGGCAGACGCGTACTCTCCTCCATAGGGAGAATGATCGTTGTAAGGTGGCCCGTACGTTCCACGGGGTGGCTGCGTTTGATGAGGTGGGCCGTAAGAGTTCCTCAATCCGGAAAAGTCGCTGTACGGTCGTGTCGGCAACGAATACGAGTCGCTCGGTACCATCGAGTACGAGTCCGAGCTGGTTTGAACGGACAGCTCGGATCGTTTCGCCGCGAAGGGCTGCTCCTTTCTTCGTTGAATAGAAGAGCCACCCGCAGCATCCACGACTCCTTCGCGAGGATCCGTGCTGGTTCGAGAGTGTCTCAACGCCTCCAAGTAACTGTCAATGCCTCGTACGAACGGACCTCTGTTACTCCACTCGGCGCTCCTTGTCGATGGTTCCACGCCAACAAGCGTCTCTCCCTTCGTTCTGGCTTCCGCTTTCGTTTCGTCGTCAACGGCCGTCGTACTCGCATTCTTCGTAAGTTCGCCAATGTTATTCGCGATCACGATCGTCAGCGTTGATAACAGGCAAAAAACGTGGAGACTCGAGGTCGAAGGTGTCCGGTGCATCGCTCGCTTGGATAGACGCGGAAAGACGGAAGACTCGGCCGCGAGCGCACAGAGTTCGATCGAAACAGTCGAGACCCTGGTGACTCGGTGGTTTCGAATGACGGTCGAATCGAAACGACGACGAGCATACGTCTTCCGGGATTCCGTCTTCTCCCCTCGAACGGCGACGACGACGCGAACGATGCATATTAAGAGCGTAACGGGTGTCCCGAGCTCTGTATTCGAGGGAATCGCCACCTTCGCCTCGCCGCATATAATCGAAGATTAGTAAAAGCATAGTAAAAAACATAGTTCGAGCAAATGTTGATACTTAAAATTATGATTACACTGATAATTATAAAATTAAATTGTAATTATGAAATATTATAATTATATTAACGATTATAAAATTAAATTGTGATTATAAAGTATATAAAATTATAATTATATTGGTAATTATAAAATTAAGTTATAATTATGAAATGTGTGAAGATAATTGTGTATTAATAATTATAAAATTAAATTTTAATTATATTAATAATTATAAAATTAAGTTATAATTATAAAATACACGAAAATAATTGTATTAATAATTATAAAATTAAATTGTAATTATGAAATATATAGAATTATAATTATATTAACGATTATAAAATTAAATTGTGATTATAAAATATATAAAATTATTATTATATTGGTAATTATAAAATTAAGTTATAATTATGAAATGTGTGAAGATAATTATGTATTAATAATTATAAAATTAAATTTTAATTATATTAATAATTATAAAATTAAGTTGTAATTATAAAATACACGAAAATAATTGTGTTAATAATTATAAAATTAAATTGTAATTATATTAATAATTATAAAATTACAAATATGTCGAGCCTCGTGCATTTTCGATATTATTATGATATAATTGACAATTGTTTCATAATTATTGTATTTTGTGATTGTAAACCGTGCCCGGTTTCGTCCCCGAAACGACGAATTTTCGAGCGAAGGGAGTGAATGGAGATCGGCGAAGAAAGACGTTGAAACGAATTGTCATGCGTTTGGCTACGTTTCGATAACGGTGTCTCTCAATTCGTTGAACCACCTACGACCGTGGCGATCCACTGACACACTTGTGCCATTGGCCCGCATAGTGTTCATATATCTATGAAAATCGGTCACATTCCGACGCGTTCCAACTCGCGGAAAGGGAAATTCGCTGAAAAGATCGACAATGGCAGACTGAAGTTTAGCCCGTACGTGCGTTGAAACGCTGCAGCGTTAATTGTAAAATTACACTGTCGTGTAGTTATCTATTATTATTATTATTATTATATACCATATATTATCTATTATTATTATTACATACCATATACCATATTATAGGTATTATTATTATTATATACCATATACTATCTATTATTATTATTATTATACACCATATTATACTCTATTATTATTATATTATATATTATTATTATTATATACCATATACTATCTATTATTATTATTATTATTATTATTATTATTATAATCTTATATACCATATACTATCTATTATTATTATTATGTATTATACCATATTATAATCTATTATTATTATTATGTACCATATACCATATTCCAGGTATTATTATTATTATATACCATATTATAATCTATTATTATTATTATGTACCATATACCATATTACAGGTATTATTATTATTATATACCATATTATAATCTATTATTATACTATATATTATTATTATATACCAGGAACCTGCATGATTTTTCACAATGAAACGCATAACTGAACCGCAACAACGATGAAAAGTTGTCGATTATTTAAACTGTCACGACATTGAAAAAAGGAAATCATATAACGATCTAATTGATCTTATTTTTAAAAAAATGGAATCTTCACTTTGACAGTCGTGAACTTGTGTTTTTTTTTTTTTTTTTTCAAAGATGATTTTGCGTCATACAGCGGGAGAGCTTTTTCTCGAAAATTGTTACGATTCAAGTATCTCCGAAAATTTTCTTCGTAATTAAATCTATATGATCGTTTTGAAGAACGAAATCTCCTTTTTTACAACGAGACTTTGAAACCTGCTTGAAACATGCTCTTCACTATACCAACACGTGTTTTGAATTGAGGCAAATGATGCAGGAATCTGCCAATGATTATTGAGATTAATATTTAGATACAATATGAATCGTAAAATTTTGTGATCATTACTTTACAGAAGCTTGATAACTCATACGATTCTTACAGTTGTTACGGTTGTTATTGAAATTACCAAATCATAATAGCTCTAATCTAGACTTTATTTACTCACTATACCACTATAATCTATACCATATTATCTGTTACTTAATATTAAAGAAATATGGTGAAGCAGAAATAAGTTATAAAATATATCCAATAGAAACAAATTTCTTCTCTTTTTCCTAAATTAAAATTTTCAAACTAAATTTACTTAATTTCTTTGCTATAGCTAGCGCAAGAGAAACAACAATTCGTCTACACATCTACGTGTGAACTTCAGCAACGCTCGAATTATCCTCGACATTAGGTGTTCCTAGGCAACGAATATAAACGAACCTTCCACTTCAATTCCATTCTCTGATCTTTGCGTGATCTTGTTGGTGGTGAAGTCATGTCGTTTGCTACTGTTCAAACATCGTGGGCGAAGTTTGGAAATTCTCGTGATTTCGCGCTCGTTGGAAGGGACGTAATCGCGATGGCTTCCGGCATTTACGTTCGTTTTTATGATTCTGCGAGTGGAGAGACGCAAGTGGAACGATTCGACGGTGGTGAGAGAGGAGATGGCGCTTGTTGTCTCGCCGGACTTTCTGTAAGTTGTTTTTTTAGATTACATAGGACACTAACAATAAGTACTATTGTTTTTTTCTTTTTAGATATTCTTTGCTTCTCTTTTAGATAGATATGAAACAGTGTTGTTCAACTTTTAAAATAGCCGTGTAAACTACAACCCTCCTTCGTGGTATGAGCGAAAAGAATTTTTGGAAAATTTTTTGAAAGTTCTCAATAGGTGTGGTGGAGACTCTTGAACTTTCAGTCAATTTATACATAAATATTGAAAATATTTATTATATTTATTATATCATATATTTATTAAATATTTATTGTATCTTATATATTTATTATTTATTATATTTATTAAATATTTATTATATTTTATATATTTATCGTTTATTTTATTTATTATTATTATTATTATTTATTATATTTATTAAATATTTATTATATCTTATATATCTATTGTTTATTATATTTATATCTTATATATTTATTATTTATATCTTACATATTATATATTATATATTTATTTTTATATCTTACATTACATTACATTATATTTCTTTATTACATGCTCCATAAATATAGGAGAGTGATATGTTATTAAATGAAAATAAATATAACATTAGTAAACATAAATAACTATTAATAAAATTGTATTATGTCTTTATTCTTAAAAGAAATATGTGGGAAATCAGAGATTTGATAGCAGAGGGCTGAGTTCTCTGTATAAAATCACATGCGAAATTTACATATATATCTTTACATGTTATTATTAATATACTTATATTATACATTATTATTATTATTTATTTATGTTATATCTTTTATTAACACATTTTTTTATCACATCCATTTATATCTAAATTCACATCACAATTTATAAAATATATATATATAAATATATAAATAAACTCAAAACAATCAGAAAAACATGGCAATTTTAAGAAGCGGAGAAATATTGGTAGAACGTGATCGCGATTGAAAAATTCATATTTAACAATCACCAAATGTAACTGTGACAACCTCCCTTGGGATAAGAACAATAAACGATCTTCGCCATAGATCGATTAAATTGGTCAGTTATTGCATTTGTTTCAAGATTGCGCCGATCTTCTCCGTGATCGAGAGGAAAGCCAATCCCAGGATCTCGGTGTTTGCTTATCCTACAATACGAAGAGTCAGTCTATGTGCCGGAAGTCGAGAATCGAATGGCTACGTGTGTTGCGCGTTCGCTGGCACCGAGTACCTGCTCGGTCAGGCAACTTTCCCAGATTTTTCCTTGATAGTATGGCAATGGAGAACTGGCGAACGATTGACGAAAATGAAGGAGACGGACACGACGACGTTCGACGTCGATCGTACGAGACTCACGTGAGTGGGATCATCGATAATAAAATTTGAAAGATCTAACATGAGCATAGAGTCGTGACTATAGTCCAATCGTATAGTGAGTATAGTCTCGAACCTCGGAGAACCTGCTGCGAACTACTTGTTGTCTTGTTCGAGCTGGTTAATGGCACCGTTTATCGTCCGCAACTCTTACAATTGATTAATTTTATGCCCCTATAAAGCCGATTAGATTTTTTACAACCTTCCATCCGTTGTAATTCAAACTTCGCTGTTTGCGACACTATCAATCGACTGCGTAACGTTCACAATTCGTTAAACTGTTCTGACGACCTGTTTAGACCTCGAACAAATTTTTCTTCGTTCTCTTTTCCTTTTCTTTCTTTATTTATGTGTAAATTATTTATGTGTAATTCTTTATTTGTTTGTATGTAAATTAATTCTTTAGTTATTTGTATGTAAATTAATTCTTTATTTGTTTATATGTAAATCAATTCTTTATTTATTTATGTGTAAATTAATTCTTCATTTATTTAAATTTTATTTGTTTATTTATTTATATGTAAATTAATTCTTCATTTATTTAAATTTTATTTGTTTATTTATTTATATGTAAATTAATTTTTCATTTATTTAAATTTTAGTTGTTTGTTTATTTATATGTAAATTAAGTCTTCATTTATTTAAATTTTATTTGTTTATTTATTTATATGTAAATCAAGTCTTCATTTATTTAAAATTTTATTTGTTTATATATTTATATGTAAATTAATTCTTCATTTATTTAAATTTCACTTGTTTATTTATTTATATGTAAATTAATTTTTCACTTATTTAAATTTTACTTGTTTATTTATTTATATGTAAATTAATTATTTATTTAAATTTTATTTGTTTATTTATTTATACGTAAGATTGGCTAAAATTAGAAAAACATGTCGAACAGTTTAGTAGAAAGTAGTATTCAAATGATAATCAAAAGTATAATGAAATTAATTTGATTAATTTTTTAAAATTTTTAATTTATTTGATGACTGAAAAGAAATGATTCTGAATTTCGTTTTGCCTCTTGCATCGCAATTTCCTTTTCAATTGAAATTTAAATCACTGACTTGAAATCCAGACACAGTTACAATTTGAAATTTAGAATTCAAATTTAAATTCCACGAGACTACATTCTGCTCCTCTTTTCAAACCGAAAATCATAATCTTATTACCCGTGGGACTTAGACCATGATGCGCATTATGAATATAATTAATTTAACGAAAGTCAAAAAAAAGTCTTGAATAAAGGTTGATCCTTCGAAGCTTCAAGGCTCAATTGTAACCACTGAGTTTTTAACGACTGTTGTCATACTCAAAGTCTCAAGCTCAAAGGCCTTAAAAGCTTTCAGCCTGAAGCTTTTAAGACTTAAATATGTGACACTTCACGGTCTCTATCGTCATTGATACAATTCAAATCATTGCATACAATTTAAACAGCAGACTCTCCTAGTTAAAGATCTCGAGCATTAAGGATTCAAGCTATCGCTGCTCAAGATTTGAACCTTTGCTCGATGCTCAGGACTCACTATTTTTACAACGCTGGATAGAACTTTTCTTCTACGAATTCTTGAAAATTCTATGAATTTTTCTCAGATGCTCGACCGACTCGTCCTACATGGTAGCACGATTCATGCCATCCACTGGTAGACTCTCAGTGTATCGCGTGTTAACCTGCTCGAAAACCGTTCGACTTTTCCCAGTCAAAACAAGCATCGAGTTTACTGCAGTCTCCTGTTCGTGGTCCACGGATGGTGCTCTCCTTTGTTGCGACGAAACCGGCACTGTTCGGTCCGTTCGTTTTGAAGACGAGCAATTGAATAATCGGATACGAACGATTCTTGGATCTCCTGGCAGGAATTCTGACGATTCTTCTGAAGTGGTTCGTTCGCGAAATAATCCCGTGTTGGTGGGCCACGCTGATGGAACGTTGGTCGTCGATCGTGCGATCACAGGCAGTTGCGACATTCGAGCAACGGTAGGAGATCGTATAATCTGATTTAAAATAAAGCGAAATTGTATATGATTCGTCACTGAAAGACTGAATGATATAAAACGAAAATAACTTTTACCAACACACGTTTTTCTTCAATTTTTTTATTATTCTATTCGGAAATATAATTGTTGGATTTTTTTCAGTATTATGTGCGTAACATCCTTCAAATGACCACCATTTTTAAAATGAACAAACCAATTCAGTTTTTCAGTAAAATTGTAAAATACATAATATTATATTTTTGTGGAGATAATTAAAAAAAAAATAGGACGCGGTTAGAAAATTATTAAATATTAATTGATCAATTAATAATTTATTAATTTATAAATATTGATAATAATTAATTAGTTAATTACACTTTGATATATTTTATATATTTTTCCACGTGACAACCATCGTGTGCATTTATGCATCTCCAGATTTTTCGTAAATGCATAAAAATCCTACCTAAATATAATACAAATGCAGCGAAATTCTGAAATAAATCAGAGGTTGCACAAATCTGATATCGTGAATCTGTATAAAGTGAATAAAAAGTTAATGTTTCGAATATCAAAGTAATCGAACTGGCAGAGACACGAGTGGAAATATACTTGAATATGCTGTATAATTATAAAGAAAGATAGCGTATAATCGTTGAAAGAGCCAATTTATAACAAACCGAGATACTTTCTACAATTTCAACTGTAGACACTTTATATGAAAATATAAAAAATGCATATATATAATTATTATTATTAGCTTGTTTTTAGTTCTTATTGTACTTAAAATACTTAAATTAATTTATTTAAATAAATAAATTAAATTATAGTTCTTGTTGCACTTAAAATATTTAAATTAATTTATTTAAATAAATAAAAAAAGAATATATATATATAATATTCGAAGAATATATATATATAAGAATTTTATTTACAATAAGTTATACATGCACCAAATGCAAACATATGAAAATTTAACTTACAATCTTATGTATACATATATACATATATATATATAAATAATAAAACTTAGAATTTTATGTATATAATTTATACAATCTTATATATATAATTTATATATAAATAATAAAACTTACAATCTTATATATATATATATATTTATTTATTTATTATATATATATAGAGTCTATTCATTCCGTAATTTATTCACCTGGATCGTTCCGATCAGTTTTACAGGAAACCTTGGAAAGATCAGGAGGACGAGTGGCGTTCAGCTTGGAGCATGTTACTACCATCATATCCGAGATACGCAGAAAGCAATTCCAGCCAAGACAGAATCTTGATTCTCGGAGAGAACGGTGATCTTTTCCAAATGATCGATGTGTCGCGCGATCGTCCGCCCCGCCTCGAGTTTCTACTGCGTGGCGACGCGAATTACGCGAACATCGCTCCGTTACACGGATCATATCTGGCAGCTGTAGATCGGACCGATCGTCTGACAATTGTGGACGCTGCAACCGGTAAATTTGTCTCTCCGGCGATACATTTGACGCATCATGGCAAAGGTTGGTTTGAGAACAATGTAAAACTAATTATATAGATACCAGAACTCGAAACATTCGTAAAGTATAATTTTATTTAAATGTTCATTCTCAAAAATGATAATTAGTTAGATAAGGTATTTTGGTATACTATAATATGCACAGTAATATCTGCTGAGGCACAAAATGAACAACACATCGAACATTTTCGTTTATAATGGATATCATAGTATATAGATTCACACGATATTTTTTACTAATTTACATATATTTTTTATTAATATTACCTATATTCTAATTTTATTAATGTTGTATATATAATTTACATATATTTTTTATTAATATTACCTATATACTAATTTTATTAATATTATATATATATACTCTACATATATTTTTTATTAATATTATATGTATAATTTACATACATTTTTTATTAATATTACCTACATACTAATTCTATTAATATTATACATATAATCTACATATATTTTTTATTAATATTATATATATAATTTACATACATTTTTTATTAATATTACATATATACTAATTTTATTAATATTATATATATAATCTACATATATTTTTTATTAATATTATATATATATATATATATAACTTACCTACATTTTTTATTAATATTACCTATGTACTAATTTTATTAATATTATATATATATAATTTACATACATTTTTTATTAATATTACCTATATACTAATTTTATTAATATTATATATATAATTTATATATATTTTTTATTAATTTACATTTATTAATATTAACAATCATCCTGTGTCATTTACGAACAATTCCACATTTTCGTATCGTCAAATTCTCCAAATCATTTCGCAGTTGCCGATCTCGCCTCGCATCCCGTGTTACCGATTCTGGCAAGCTGCAGCATCGCGGGGAATTGTCTGTTCGTCAAATTGTCCCCTACCTCACCACCTCGTCCGAGAATAACACGTTGCATTCACCTTCAACGAGAAGCTCTGGATCGAGTCAAATTTTCCAACATGGGTAACCTATTGGGTGCCGCCTCGTCTCAAATCGGTCGACTGTTTCTTTTGTCGGTGAGCATCGCCGAGCCTAAAGAACGAGATGATCACGCGAGGTTATACAAAATGACAAGTGAGAGAGTTGCGGCCTGGCTGAATTTTGAACGGAAGGTAAGTGTCGGTGAGCACACGAAGTGTTGCTCTTTTGAAAACGTATTGATGTTGCTTCTCGTGCTAGATGATCGATTTTTTGATCTACGAAGTGGACCGAGATCGAGCTAAGGTGCTGCTTCTTATTGAAAATGCCGACTCGAACGACTCTCCAGCTGGAAACGAGATCGTCGTGTACTCGTGTCGATTGTTTCACCGAGATAACTGCGCGAACGACGCAGATTGCTCGATAAAGCTTTTGTCTTCCTTCGAGCGTCTTCACCACGGAAGGGAATCGAGCTACGATATAATTGGCGTTCCGTATCTCACGAAGCAGCTGCATCGAATAGAGTTGAAAGTAAAATTATATGTTATATTACATATCTAAAAGAGTAAGAAAGTTTATTGATAAATTCTATATTTATTTATAGTAATATTTATTTGGTAATTTCTAATGATCTGAAAGCGTTTATTTAAAACGTCCCTTATTTGTCAGAAGGGTGCCGTTCGCTTGCGCCATTAGAAAACAAAGAACTTTCTGAAATGAAGTACTCTTCATTATATGACATAAAATCAAATAGTTTGATTTTAAATTTGTTTTTAAATTTACACATACAATAGTGTAATATAATAATATTAATTCAAATTACTTCTGTTAATCGTGTAATTTTTTTTAATTATTCTCTTTACTTGTTAAAAACATCCATCTTAATGATCAAATCAATATATTTTTCTTTTTTACAATTGCCTAAAAGATAAAGGTATTTTTCTGTCCAAATTAATATTGATTTCTGTTCGTGTAAATCTATATTTATCTACGTTTATTCATTATCATTTCAATGATTTGTATAATGTACGTATGGAAGATTGGTTGTTTTAGTTGTTAATCAACTTATTCGATCAGTGTCTGTCTGCACTTGTAAAAAATTCCATTAGCAGTGAGTAACAAATAGAACAGAACAAAAATTTGTTTAAAGAAAAGAAACTACATATTAATAAATACGACAAACATTTAATTTCTAAATATATATTTATTTTCTTTTTATTTTACAAAAATATATATATTTAGATCATTTACTTTCGAGATAATTAAATTATTAAAATAAATTAATTAACCCTGATACAAAAAATACAAAATAAATTTTACTTACTTATTTTTTAAAAAATTCATTTTCATTACTTTAAACTATTAATAATATTATTTTTAATTATTATTAAAATATTACTATATTACTAAAATTATATATATATATATATATATATATATATATTTTAATATTATATATAATATTAAAATTATATAAAGTATATGTATTTTAAATTTATATATAATATTAAAATTATATAAAGTATATGTATTTTAAATTTATATATATATATTTTTAATTTTTACGAAAATATATATATTTATTATAAAACTTTATTTATATATTATATTATATTAATTTTAAATTGTATATGTATATATACATCTGTATGTATATGTATATCTATAATATTACTTATTATTATTATATATATATAACTATTATATGTATATTATATGTATTATTATTATATATATATAAAACTGTTATAATTTAAAATTAATATAATTAAATAAAGTTTTATAATAATATAAATTATGTTTTTATAAAATATATATATTTTCGTAAAAATTGAAAAAATATATATATACTTATATAATTTTAATATCATATATAATATTAAAATATATATATATTTTAGTAAAATCAAATAAAAATAGATACTATAATCAATAAAGATTTAAAAATATATACATGTATTAATTTATATTTATCTGTATCGATTCGCAGGAAGATTTCCAAGACGCTCTACTCTCCGATGTTCTGCCGTCTCTACACCAAACCAGGTGTGTCTCCATCACCGTGCATCACAAAAAATCATCATCGCCGAGCCTGATCACCTGCGGATTCGACGGACTAATCGTCTGGAGAGATTGCGCTCAACTGCAACGAGTATTCGCTCTGTTCGTCGCGCATCATCGCGCAGAAGCTGGCGGTCGATGTGCAATCCTTGTCAACGACACGATCGTTTCCCTGGGTAGAAACGGCGATTTGGTCGCCAATAGGCTGCCATACGCACGGTTAGCGAGTTTGCTCTCTTCCTCTCGTTTCTTCTGCTCGTCGTTGATTAATTTTTACTTGTCTACTAGTACGGTCAGATCGGAACAGGAAAATCGAGGTTCGAGGTCGACCGGGTTCTTTCGTTGGATCACGCTCAGCCGTTTGGAAACGAGAAAACGATCGGAGGAGAACGAGGAGAACGAGAAAGAGAAGGAGAACGAAGAGACGGAGACTTGGATGGACGCGATGCTTCGCCAGCGGTTGATGGCCGAGGAGAAACAAGCTCTGGAAACGCGTCACTCTCTTCTTAACGACTGGAACGAGTTGAAATGTAAGGTAAATAACTATGCAATGAAATTAACTTCTTTCTCCACCTGCTTCAAGAAAGGAAGATATAAAGAGCCCTGGTCTATTTCAACATCTTATGTTGATATAACTCATCCCCTTTATATTTCTCTATTATGTGATTTATTTCTTCAATGTTTCCTATTCTACCTAATATTTTTATCTTCGTTATTTTCATTTATTACTGTAATTGCCATATTTATCTCGCTTGTTCATATTTATCTATCTTCATCTTATTTATCTTATTCTTTTCTAGCACCGTAATTATTACATTTATTAATATTTATATTTAATATTTATATTTATATTTATATTTATATTCATATTCAGTATTTATATTTATATTTATATTTATATTTATATTTATATTTATATTTATATTTATATTTATATTTATATTTACTATTTATATTTATATTTATATTTATATTTATATTTATATTTATATTTACTATTTATGTTTACTATTTATATTTACTATTTATATTTATATTTATATTTATATTTAATATTTATATTTATACTTATATTTTTATCATGTTATGTCATATATTCTCATCTTGTTTATCTCTGTGTTATAACACTTATTAATTCTTAATTTTTAATCTTAACGCTTGCTTTTGTCCTTGTTACTTTTTCTTCGTTCTTCTTTTTATGTACACCGTTTGAAAGACTTTTATACGTTCCCAATGCTTTGGGAACGTTGCAAAAAATATTTTCACACCTCTGAATAACGTGTTCGTGACTAAGAACGCCGCTTTCCCGACGACAGGTAAAGACATTGTTGGATGCAAACGAGACAGCGCCGCCAAACGCCCGACTTCCGATTTCTGCGTTCGATCTCGACCAGCGAGGCAGAGAGTTCGCATTGGCAGCGGCCAGGTCGAAGGAGAACCAATTGACGAAGAACGCCGAGGAACGAATCGCGAGTTTAAATTGTTCGAAGCATTATTTGCGCGAACGATTTCTAGATCCTCTGGTCGTCCGACCGAGAAGCATCTGTTCCTTGTTCGGTCGATCGAAGGTCACCAATTATCCTCTCGTTGAATTGACACCTGGAGAGACGCATCTTCCGTCGTGGTGTCGATTCTCGATGAAAATGAGAGAACTGGTATCCAGGTAATTATTCTTTTTTTCGAGAAGGAGTTAAAGATAATAATATTATCAGGATATAGATAGTTAGATAATATCAAGTAATGGAGCTGTCATTCTTTTCTTCTTTTCTTTCGAAATAACGTCTTTCTGAGTACGACATTTTGTCCATAATTGTTTCAGAAATAAAAGGGGGAAAATGCTGACTTTTCTATAACGTAATTCTTTAACAATAATGATATAATTATATAATTATAATTTATATATAATTTATATATAATTATAATCTATACAATTTATATATAATTTATATACAATTATAATCTATACAATTTATATATAATTTATATACAATTATAATCTATACAATTTATATATAATTTATATACAATTATAATCTATACAATTTATATATAATTTATATACAATTATAATCTATACAATTTATATATAATTTATATACAATTATA